CAGCAACCCACCGCAATGCCCTGAATTACCTCCCCCACCAGGGAGCTGCTCACGTGGTGCAGCAGACCTCTCCTATCTGGCCCGCTGCTCCCCTCGGCAGTGCATTTCAGTTAGCCTGCCTGCTCTGCTCCCCACTCTGCCGCCGGTGAGTCTTCTCCCCTCTCCCCTACCTTTGGCCTACACTCCAGTTCTTCTGTGCAAAACACATCCATTTGGTAGTGTATAGTGGGGAAAAAAGTGATTCATTATTAGCAAGGACTAATTGAGTTGCCAGTCAGCACATTTTGTCCCACCTGCTCTTCCTATTTCTCCAAATTAGTTTCACAACAAATGCAAGTAAGGGTCAGGGAAGAGGTCCTCTTCCTCCCCCAGAGGGCTCACCCTGTATCTTTAGAACTCAGGGTTCAGGTGGGCTCACCTGGGGATTGACCTCCTCTCAAGCTTCTGAGTTGTGCTGAGGTGGCTTGGCAGGAAGGGCACAGCCCGAGTATTGTGACGTGGCCTTCTTTCCAGTGGCCAGGATCTGGTTCCGGTTGCTTTGGAACCCCAGCAAGGTGAACTGGAATTCTGAGTAGCCACCCTGTGTACCCCCAGGCAGGAGCAACACTCTTGACTTGGGAATAGGCCCCAGCGCAGCAGGATACCAGCCGAAACAGATTGGCACTGTAACAGGGTGGTCCCTAGGAAAAGGGGAAGTTCCAGGTTCCCTGTCCCACCCAGAAGGAGGGTGGAGCTGAGCAGAGAAAAAGCTGAGGAGAGAGGAAAGAGAAGAGAAGAGAAAGAAAGAGAAAGATGGAGAACAAGAAGGAGACCTGAAGAAGCCACAAGGAGCAGCAAGCCTGTGATGAAGAAACGTGCTTGTTTCCTTCCACTGGGCTGGTTAAGGCAGATGTTGGTGAGATCCCTGTAGGGAGGTGACTATGGCACTGTTTATATTGATTTTGATTTTGCTCTTTGCCTTCCAGATTTGTCTGGCCATTTCTGACCCTTTTCTATGGGTCCTGGCCAGAGGGTGCTTTAGTCTAGTGGTGGGCTTTCAGGCTTTGCTTTGGGCCAATCCCTTTTGGGTTGACTTTTGCCCACGAGGGGATGGGTAACTTCAGGTGTTTGATTTAGAAGTTATATTCTTTGTGTTCCGTATTGTATATTCACTGTATTAAAGTCCCTTTTCATTAAAGTTTTATATGTTTTGTCTTGACGCAGTGGATGGTAGAACCCACTTAGAGTAGGCAGGTTTGGGCCTTCAGGGGTGCCTCTCTCCCCCTGTCCCGTAACAGATAACCCACAGACAGGCAACCCAATTCACATTGGGGTGCCTTGTAACAGCACCTCCCAGGGCTCTGATTGACCGGAGTCTCTTGCATCACCTGGAGCTGTTCCCTGGGACACAGTTTTTCACCTTTTTATATTTTAAGACAAGAAAAACTCGCCCCACCCCCAAAATGCCTGTTTTGTCCAATCTCCATTCTCATGAACTCTGTGACTGATGAGAAGAAAATGCCGCCCTGATCAAAATGTAACAGGGAGACAGGAGAGCGGCGAGCCTTAGTGATAAACAAGACTGAGAGGCTGCCAGTCCCCGCATTATAAGTTGTTTTCAATGGCATAAAAGTCTCTGAGTAGACTGTCTATCCTAGAAAGGCAAAATGTGGAATGAAGGCAACCAGGACTGCTATTCACATATAAATAAGGACTCTTATTCACATAAATAAGAACATGAGATGTGAGAAATGGTCTATGTGATGTGTATGTTTAAACTACACTTCTGCCAACAGCCAAAAAGTACAAGGAATAGGAGCACAGAATAAAAATGTACAGGTAGGTCAATTGAGAAACAGTCTTTTCTATATCTTACAGAAAACATTTTGAATGCATCAGAAAAGGACCTCCTCCTGATGTCTTCTTGCATTTGTTATGAAAATAATTAGAATAGGAAAACCAGGTGGAACAAATTGTGCTGATTGGCAACTCAATTAGCCCTTGCTAATGACGATCACCTTTTCTCACCACCCCAAATGGATGTTTTTCAGCGGATGCTTGGCCCATTCCTATATGGGGATAAATCTGGGTTTTTTTTAAACCAACTTTATTGTAATGATTTCACAGTATATGCACATATCAAATTATCACACTGTACAACAGAAATTTGCAAAATGTTATTTGATAACAGATCCACATAGAGATCAAGGAAATTAAAAATAATGATCATCCAAAAAGAGATGAGCTCAAAAGCACATTGGAGAGAGGTGAAGCACAACTAGTGAGTTGACTAATTAAACTGTGAAGTTCCCCAAGACTATTGGGGAGGTAGGAATACCAAGAAATGAAAGTATAGGATAATTTTAGTATTCATGGAGGACACAACCGGAAGCTCCAAAATCCTCCTAGCAGTAATTCCAGGAGAAAACAGAGTGGGGGAAAGGGTGAAGTCATCAAATAACTTTGAAATCAGTCTATTGGTTTATATTCATTTACAAACTATATAATTTGGGACATACAATTGCACACTTCAGTATGTGCATATCATCCCTCACCCACCATCACACAATCCTACTGTCTCACACTATCAAATTGACTCCCTCTCTCCTTCCTCCCATCCACCGCCCTTCCCACTCTGGTGATTATCATGTTTTTCAGAGTTGAATTATTTTTGTTGCATTTTCCAGTTTGTTTTCTTTTATTCATATTCTATATCTGAACAGAGCCATCCAGTAACTGTTTCATTTTCTGATTTATTTCACTTAGCATAATAACCTCAATTTGTATTCATGTACAAGCAGATGATTAACAGAAGCAAAACCCTACAGAGGCAGTGAGTTGTATCTTTACTTTGCAATCACCTAGATAGTACCACGCCGAATAAATTAAAACTGTAATTGTCAACCCACCCTAGTTATAGCTCTAGGAAATTTCAGAACACTAAGAACAAAGTGAAAATTGTAAAAGACCTTCAGAGAATTAAAAATAATCCCACAAAGAAAGAATCAGACTTTTTACTGTAGCAATGGATGCCAAAATAGAAAGAGGTTCTGGGAAGGAATAATCATTAATATCATATTCTCTATAAAAATTACCACTGAAGAATGAGAACGAAATATAAGCATTTTCAGTTGTACTAAGATTCAGTTAAATATGACTCTAATATACTTAAATTTGTACTTTGGGAAAAAGTCAAATGGAAGAATTAAGATAGATTATAAGAAAAATGAGGAGAAAAACTGTTCAAGTACAGTTATGTTAAATAACCATTAATGATTTTAAAAAAATCAGTCACCTGACATTAATAAGGGTTGTCATGGACAAAAAGATGCAGTGTATGTTAAAGCTTCTGCTTTGGTGAGCACAAAGGTAAATGAATTGATTATATTGCTTATTTTTTTAACTTTTTATTATGAAAATTTGCAAGTCTACATTAAAAAAAATCCATAGTAAACATCACTATATCCAGAACCTTGCCATAATAATTGCATACATTTTGCCATATTCTTACAGTATTTTAAATCAATTCCTAGATAAATATGTCAGTATTTTTACTGACATTTTTACACAATCAAGATACCATTAGGACACTGAGCAAGATAATAACAATTCCTTTGTATCATTTAATATCTAGGTCATATTCAAATTTCTCTAATTGTCTCAATTTTTTTTTTTTTTTTTAGTTATTTTGTTCAAAGCAGGCCTCCACATATTTTCCTGGCATGTTTCTTAAGTGTCTTATAATTCTGAAGAGATTCCCCCCACTCCCATTCATTCCAATGCCCAAAGGAAAAAGAAAAATCTCACAAGATAAACACTGTTCTTTTTAATTTAGTTTATGAAGAGAGCAGTTCAACTGTAAAATTGGGCAAAGACCAGATCATAGAATGACCTACAAACTGAATTTAACTTTCTATGGTAGTGCATTTAATTTGTCTTTCTATGATCAATAGAAAGTTTGATCTAAAGGCTTGATTAAATTTAATTGTGCTATGCAAAGTAGTTCTAAGTCTTGATACATATTCCTTGTTATATCTCATCATGAAGCGCAAGCTGCCAAAATGACCGTTTTTTTCACCTTTGGGAAAATTGCTCTTCAATTAACAAGGGGAGACAAATAATAAAAATGATTTAAAAATGAACAAATGAGAACACTGCATATCAAGAAACCAGAAAGATAAACACAAAGATGGTAGAAAGAATGAATTTATTTTAAAGAACAGAAACTAGTGAACCAGGAAAAAAAATAGATCTGTCCAATAAACAAACCAAAGCTGTTCTTAGAAAAGATCAGTAAAATAAAAAAATAATTGGCAGGCCAGTAAACGGAGAAAGTGTGCAAATAAGTAACAGGGTATATGTGAAAAATTATGAGAACAATTGTTCTAGAAAATATAGGTAAAATTCTGAGAAAGTATAAATAACCCAGTTGGCTCCAAAAGACATCTTAAAACCTGAATTAGTCAACATGAAAAATCAATCTATTAAAATTAGATGAATTAACAAAATTGGTCCATTGATAAGGATTACCACTTAACAGATTGAAGAAAAAAGTATAGTGAATGTAATAATAATTTCTATGTGCCAGGCCCAGGACTGTGCCAGGTCTAATAGCTTTAACTATATCAATTCATTCCATTTAAATAAATGCTAAAAGGTGTTTAATTAAATTCAATCCTATTCCTGATTAAAATCTTAGAAAGGGATAGACAAAGAAGCATCACTATCAAAAAGGGAAAAAAATGTTGAACTATCTACCAGAAATTCATAGAAAACCTTGAAGGTGGTATTGGAACTGTTCTTATCAAATATCAGAAACTGAGTTCAAAATAGATGAAACAGAAGTTCCAGGGAACTTATCTACATTGGTAATACCTGGGTACAAGGTGTTCCTAACCAGAGAATAAAAGGTGACTCAACTTGCAAGAGCATCACAATTTTGAACTAGTCAAGGTACATATAAACTAAGATCCAATTTACCAACATTCAAAATACATACACATTGTCAGAAATATTTCAGGTGGATCGTGCCCTAGTTCTTTGATTTGTTTGACTTCCTACACTTGATTCAAGACAAGTGAATCCAGAGAAATCAGGAAAAAAACCCAACCTCCACCCAGCTTCATCCTTTCTGGGAGACAAGGAGTTGGTTGGTTCCATTGGTTGGTTGTGGTTTGGCTTGGATCGCCTACCCTCTCACCACCCTAAGCCCTCAGAGTTTGCTTCTGGTCTCAACAATATGTTGCCTGAAGAACTTCAGGATATCTCCCCAGGACTGCTCCTGAGCTGCTGCGTGGAGGGCAGGGTCCCCTCCCCAAAGCATGGGCAAGGGTATGCTGGGGTTCCAGGAAGCATAGCACAGGGGTCCATAGGGAGGCTCTAAGAGGTGGCCAGCCCCAGGATAGGTCAGCATCCTTCCATTGCTTTTTCCATGACTCTGTAGCCGCTCCAGCGCCTGCTCAGCACATTTCCTGCTGTCAAGGCATGCATCACACTCAGATACAAGGAAGAGGATCTGACCCTGGGCCTTTTCCACAGGAAGCAGGTTCAGCGGACTCACTGTGTCGTGTAACTTGTGGAAGTTGCGGAAGCTCACAGCACCAGAGACATCAATCCGTAGGGACTCCAGGAACATGGGCGTGGATGGTGATACCTGACCCCTGTACTTGTGTGGAGTTTCAGAGACCCAAGTGGGCCCATTGATGCAGATAGTGGCTACCACCTGTTTCAGGAAGCAGGTCATGGCTAGGGCAACCTCTGCCCCTTTGCTCACCCCAATCACTCCGATTCCTGGCCCTTGGACCTGAAGCAGAAAAGCAAGAGAACCCATTATAGGCCTTACACTGAGCAGTTGTAGTCCTTACAGGCTAGTGGACTAGTAAAATGGATGGTCAGAACAGGTAGGGTTGAAGTCCTGGCATTAGGCTTTACCAGCTTCTGTGACTCAGAACACTACCTACTTATCCCTTCTAAGCCATAAGACAATATGTCTTAGGGCGTGCTATTACCCACCTTGCAGAATTGTTGGGAGAACAAAAGGAAACAATAAAAATAAAAATTTCTGGCCCTCCCTGGTGTCGCAGCAGGTTAAAGCACAGCACTAAGAAGCTAAAACTACTTCAGCATGAGTTCAATCCCCGCCCCAGAGGTGATCCACATGGTGCGGCAGACCTCTTCTATAAATCTGAAAATCTCTACTTCACCAAGAACATTTTTACATCGCAAGAAGAGAGACATGTAAGTTTTCTTTAAAAATCAAATTCTTTCTAGGTAGACAAAAAGATTTCTTGAGTTGTCATATTATGTAAGTGTAATTCATAATGAAGTAGCATTTTACAACCAGAAAGGTTTTGACGTCCATTAACCCAGTGGCTAAATCTGAAAGCATTGGGAATATAAAGATGAAAGACTTGGATTCTATAAATAATTGAATTTCAGTGCCACGTCCAATAGGAACAGTGGTAGGTCATAGTAGGAACCATAATTCTGTAGGTTGAGAGAGCAGAGGAGCAGGAAGGAGGCTGAGATATGGGTGAGGAAAGAAGGGGATTCTGAACAGACAACAGCATAGAGGTAGCAACTTGGTCCGTTCTGTTCATTTTGCTCACAAGTATAAACCCAACACCTACCTATCATCACAATCACCTGTAAAAACTTGTACTAGAGATTCCTGAGATCCAATTTTCCTAGTTTCTACTTCAATAGGCCTGAGTTGAGTGCAAGAATCTGATATTATAAAATAGTTCCAAGGAAATCAAATGTGCATGCACAATTGAAACCATCCATGTGAGGCAATGAAGGGGAAGACAGAAAATGGATTCACACCTGAGTGTGGTATCGTGGATGAGTGTTAACGAGGGAAAGAACTAAAACAGTGACACAAAGGAAGAAGTGGGTGTGATAAATTAAGAAAGATTCATGAGTAGAACCTGAAACACTTTGAGATTGAGAATGTGGGAAAAGAGAGAGGGAAGCTATCAGAAAATCAACGGGTGAATTTCCTATTAAGAGTTCACTATCTGTCAGGCCTGAAGCGAAGTGCTTTACACATATTTCTCAGTTCTGCTGATAAGAAAATGAAAATTCAAGTTTAAAAGTCTTGCTCAAGGTTACAACACTCATGGGGCATAGATAGGATTTGCACCTCTTCTACTGAATTTGAGTCCAAATCTAAATTGAATGTTGGCAACTGCCTTTTCTCCCCAGACAATGCCACAGATGGCTAATTTTGAAATTCAAAAAATTTGAAAACATTCTCTCTGGTTATTTAATTCCTTTTAAAAAAAAGTCAAATATGCTTAGAAACATCCTTAAAAAAAGTCAAATATGCTTAGAAACATCACACATATTCAATCATGATTGATAATGCTCCTGTAGAATATATATCCAGCTCTCCTTGAGGAAAGTCAGGCTCTCCAGAGAAAGAGAAACAAGACAGAGTCAGGACAACATCTGGGTATGCTTTCTCATCTGAAAAATGACTACTATAACAATAGCTTCGCCAGTTTATTGTGAGCATTAATTGTGTCTAGAAAGTATTTCATGGAGTCTAGAAAATAGTCAATACATCTTAGCTGGTATGAATGTTTTACCAAGGTTAGGCCGAACCATAAAAATAGTTGATATTTGAGCATCTTTAAACTAGAAAATGATATTTAATATGATCCAACTCAACAAAATGTCAACTTTGACTCCTGACCCGGTGGTATCTATCCTACATTTCTTTTCTGAGTTATGACATGAATATCAGTATTTTAGGAGCTCCTCAAGGGAACTAAACCATAAGTCATCTGACATTCAATTCCTAGGAAAAAGCTGGTTTCTGAGATATGTCATTTCTGTCCTTCTCAATGTGGATTACCTGGTGATCTTCTTGCAATGCAAGTGTGGATTCAGGTATGGGGCGGGAGAATCTGTGTTCTAGTGGTCTCGGGTGATGCTGAGGCCTCGCTGCCTATTGACCACACTTTCAACAGTACAGAGATGCTAGACAAAAGGTTCTAAAATAATCCTTCCTTTGCAGATTCCTTTCCCTAGATTGGCTCCTGGCATTGGACTCTTACCATAGACATTTCTGTCTTTAGAACTGAAACTAATTAAGCAGATAATTTAGATAATTAGATGGTGCAGTCAAATCATTTTGCTGATGACCCTACTCTGCACCATATCCAGCTCTGACACTGGACTTTATCGAAGGATTCTGGGTGACTTAGTTAAACCTTACTCAATGCAGTGATAATCCACAAAGATTGTAAATGTGTCAAGCTAGAGAATTCCGCACATAAGATCTGTGGTTGGTGAAACATTTATGAGCCACTGGAGATAAGTCACAGATGCTTCAAATGCAAGGTCTTAACTTTTTTTTTCCCCATTGAAAATATTCAGAGTATATATCCACTACTTATTATCCTCTTTGAGGCAGTTATCACTAAACTGACTACCAATCTACCTAACAATCCTACAAGGTAAATATGACTCCCATCTTAAGTATAAACTATTCTATAACCAAATCTAAAGAGATTAGAGAAATAGGGAGAATAGAAACTCATGGATTTTTATGTATTTGTTTGCTGTATTGTTGCAAGGTAAAATTAAAAGTATTGTAGATACCTTTGGATGTGATACTAGAAAATCGGTAGCTTCCTCAAAATAATCCAAGTCCAATTCCTTCAGGTGGCTGGGCAGGTCTTCATAGGCAAAATATGCTAATGCCAGCGTTGCAAAGCCATGGCTGGCCAAAAGACTGGCACGAAATTCAACTAGACCCCCAATGCCCCCAAACAAATCAATGATTCCTGGAAAAGGGCCTTCCCCTATGAGCAACAAAGAAAGAAGAGAGGGATTCAGGAAGAGTGAAATGAGGGTCAATGACAAGTAAACAAAATATATTCTACCTTCACACACATGCACACATACACACAATGGCATATTAGTTTATAAATATTGTGGAGACCCTCCCTGGTGGCACAACGGGTAAGGACCCAGCACTGCAAGCTGGCCATAGCCACTTCAGTACGAGCTCGATCCCAGCCTCAGAAGTGACCCACATGTGCAGCAGGCCTCTCCTGTCTCTCCTGCTGCTCCGCTCAGCAGTGTACTTTGTCGATCTGCCTGTTCTGCTCCCCACTCTGTTTCCGGTGAATCCTCTCACCACCCCTACACCTCTGGCCTGCACCCTAGTTCTGTAGGCATTAAAAAAATCTATAAATAAATAAATATAGTGGAAAACACTTGTTCACCAATAAAAGGATGGCCTGTGTTTTCTTTTCATGGCCACCCACACAATAGTCTGTATACCACCAAAGATTAAACTCACCTGGAGGGAGAAAAAGGGCTCCTCGCACACGTCCTGATCGAATGGGCACCCGCTGCACCCCAGGGGCTGTGAACCAGCGCTGCACTGTCTGGCTGGCCTTAGGCATCTCGGTGGCCGGCTCTTGGAGGACAAATGAGTCATAGAGGTCCAGAGTGACCCTGAAGGGACTGTTCATCACATCCCGCTTCAGCAGTCTCCTGAAAGCTTTCTCAGGCTTTAGAGACCAGAAGAGGCCCATCGGTTCAACCCCCACATAATCGCCTCCAAGCGCCGCGTCTCGTTTCAGGTCCAGGTCACCGGCCTCATTAGTCCTGTAAAAGGCCCTGCTGTGAAAGAGATTCCCCTTCTCATCCGTCAGAGATGCCTTTAGGGTCACCAACACTGATGGGGGCAGGCCTGTCGCTCGGATGTGCACCGGTTCATCAGTGAGGGCGCTGACGGGGGTGACTGTCAGCCGCGACATCGGCAACTGGCGAAGTGGTGTTTCCTGCCCTGCTCGTGAAACAGGAGACTCTAAGTTAGACTTCACTGCCAAGGGAAAAGTGAAGATCCACTTCGTCTCTACCAGGCTTAGCCACGTTGGCTTGAGGAGACAGTGCAAAATACGTAGAACATTTGGAGGAGAAAGGAGCTGTGCAGAGAATAGTCCATATTCTCACTTTATACGTGAGGAAGAAGGTTAAGTTAAAGTGGAAAATGCCAGGTTGACCTGTTGGTGAGCTGACGTTGGGACAGAGCGTGTAGAGTGGACGTTTCGGGGAGCACTGATAAGCACCCTCATGCCGTAATTCAGGCATTTCCAGATAGATGACTGTACCCCTTGATTTAAATACTCTGTAACCTAGTTGCTCAGGGCTCAGATTTTGGGGAGAGATCTCCTCTAGGCCCACCAGTGTAAAGCCTGCTGGCATAAATAGAGAGCTTCCCTCCTCGTCTCTGAGGGACATCTCTGGCCCCCGTCATGGAATTCTGCCACAACATTTTTGGTCCCCTGACCGGGAAGCTGGCTATGCTGGCCGGTTGTGCCACCGGCCTGGAGTGGGGCAATGACAGGCGACTCTCCCGGAAGAGAATGAGGTGGTACTTCCTTCCTTCCGGTCTTTGCTGGGTCCTCCTTCCAGGGGTGGCAGTCAGCTGGCCACAGCTGCTGCACCTCCACCAGACTCTGGGAGAGGTGAACAGAAGTGCCAGGGGCATCAGGGCATGGTAAGATCTCCAAGGGACCTATTCTTAGCATTACAAACTCAAAAATGTTTTCTTATCTAAGAAAGCTAGTAAAATGGCTTGGCTTGTCTTTAAAATTGTTTTGGCCTTGGGCCCTAGGTTTTTGATGATGTTTAAAATTGCACACTTATTCTCTATGTATGGATCTTAACTTCTGTCTGATTGGAAACCTCCTTAATATAAAAGTGTATAAAAAGCTAAAAGAAAATGGTTTTTCTTTTTAAAGCGTGTGTTTACATCTAAGTCATCTAATACAAAGGGATAATAGTATAATGGCTATTACAATGTCCTACTAAAATGGAGGATGTAATAAATGTAAGCTTTTTTTTAAAGTATTGAAAATGGACATTTTAAAGGCCTGAAAGTAAAATTTAACAAAAGTGTTAAAGTGAGTGTTAAAAACCTGTGAGAGGGAGGAAAATAATTTTAAGAAAAAAAAGTTAACGATTTGAGAGAGGAATTTTAAAAAAAGATTATGTGCTTCAATGACTTACTACAAACTGTACAAGGACAAGCATTCTAGCAGTGTAGTGCAATAGTTCCAGAGATTAGACATGGCCTTGAAGGCCTACATTGACAAAGAGGAGACTAGTCAGGCTAAAAAGGAAAGGCAGAAGGACAAGAAAAAGGGACACAGTATATGGCAGTTGCCATTGCAGTTTTCTGCCACCTCAGACTCACCTGAGGCCCCGTGCATCCCAGACATTTGGGACCTCAACCTGTTCATGGGCTGCCAGCCTGCTTCCACTGCCAGGAACTGAGACAACTCAGTCACGAGTGTGTGAAGAAGCCGCCCACAGGGCCAGGCCTTCAGTGCCATGGCACAGAGCACTGGAAGAGGGACTGTTGCACTCTCCGAGAGAGGGGGGTCAGCCCAAACCACAGGCCAAGATGGGAGCAGAGGCTTGACCGTCAGCTGCCTCTGACTATGAAGCACCAGATACAGGAGAAGAGGTTTTCTGAAGAAGCCCAGAGGTGAGACAAGCCTCGAGTGACCCTAAAAGTAGCAGACAAAAAACAATCACCTTCTTGGTGAATAAGGGGTCACTTACACTGCCTTGCTCCAATTCTGTAGACTGGCCCACTGGTCAGCTGTCTCCCTCACTAGTAGTGATGACTAGCCTGAGCCAGGATGCTTCACAACATTGTTGCCTTGTTCCAGCCAAGCCTGGAGGAGTTTTTGCCTCTTAAATAAAACAATTGTTTTTTTTTTTTTTAAGATTAACATTTCTGGTGAGGTAAAAGGAAATCTGCAAATACTAAAAAATATCTGTATTAGAGATAACCTTAAAAGACAGGCAAGACTGACCCTCCCTGGTGGTGCAATGGGTTAGGACTGCAAGCTGGCCACAAGCACTTCTGTGCAAGTTCAATCCCTGGCCCCGGAGGTGATTCACATGGTGCAGCAGACCTCTACTGACCCACCCTCTGCTCCCCTCAGCAGTGTACTTCATCAATCTGCCTGTTCTGTTCCCCACTCTGTCTCTGGTGAAGCCTCTCATCACCCCTGCGCCTCTAGCCTGTACCCCAGTTTTGTATGCATAAATAAATAAATCTTTAAAAAAGAAAAGACAGGACAAAGTCCTACTTGGCTACAATCAATCTTTGCCTTTATAGGAAACCAGCTTCTGTCCTGGTTGCTCCCCTTTCTCGTTCCTTCACTAATTTTCTTTATTGTTCTCTTGTTTCCGCCTTGCATCTTCAATGCTCTGGTCAAAATCATCCCCTCTTGCCTGAAGGCCCACAGGCTTCAAGTAGACCTTCAGATGGAGCCTGATATGACACTTCCACCGTCCTTAGGTCTTCGCCCCGCAGTGCAGCCCCGAATGCTTCCCCACATCACCCATTTTCAACAGGAAGCAGTTACTGATCAGATCCACGTCGTCGTTTGTCCGAACAGCAGTTAGGGGGTCCATCGTAGAGGGAGAAATGAGTCCCAGGCCAAGTTAGGATTAATTAGGCAGCTTCGGGGACTTTGAGAGGGTAAAAGAGGCTTCAAGAGAAAGACAGTAAATTGTGAAAAGTGCTAACCAAAATACACTCCAGAGACGGGGTCAAAAAGTTCAAGAGGACTAAACAAAGAGGGAACACTGGACAAATGCCTGGTGTGACTGTATTTTCTCTTGCACACACTGGAACTCTAAAAAACAGTCTTCAAAGCTGCACCCTGAGATCTGTGCCCACATAAATATTGGTGGGATAAAAATTACAATGAGTGGGCAGAAATGAAGTGAAAAATGCCGGGCTGATCTGTTGACTAGCTGAAGATGGGACATAGCCTGTAGACTGGAAGTTTCAGGGATCACTGACAAGAACCCCAAGGCCACATATATCCTGATTCAGTCATTTCCAGCTGACTGTACCTCTTATTTTAAATATTCTGTAACCTAGTTGCTCAGGGTTCAGGCTTTGGGGAGAGATGTCCTCTGGGCCCACCAGTGTGAAGCCTGCTTCCCTCCACCTCTCTGAGTGACACCTTCCCTGACAGAATTCTGCTGTAACAAAGTGACATGCTCCAAGTCCCATAAGCAGTTAACAGAAGAATTGGAAAATCCAGTCAACCTGAAAACACAGCTTCCTGTCCTGTCCATTCTAACACTAGTAAATCTCAGTGTTGAATAAGTAGAGATTGAATTCCTCAGCTGAGGTTATACCAAGTGACCCATTTCGTGCATTCAAGGGCGTAAAGGGCTTATGGGAAGGTCTGTGCTGTTTTCAACCCCATACCTGCCTGGGTAGAATTACATAAACAAGAAATGGTTTGTGGTATTTTGTTTTGTTTTCTTAATTCCCTAATCCCTTGCTGCCATTGTAAGACCGCTGGCTTTTTTCAGAGTCCTCATTATATGTTCAAGAGAAAATAAAATTTCACAATTTGTCTCTGTTTCCATGCCTTTCCAATGGAGGAATGAACATCAAAATGTGTGTAGTAAATATATATTTGATCCTCCAGCAATACTTTGACCAATTTCTACTGACCATTTTATATAAACCTAAACTCATGGGCAGCAAGATAATTTTGAATAAATAGAATGATTCTGTTTCTCCTTGCTTCTGGGAAGTTCTCGACAGGTGGCATCAATTCAAATTTCATGGATCTTTCATTCATGTCAAGCAAATGGAATATATGGTATCTCAATGTTCCACAGGAATTACAAGTCTGATCCTACTATTAACCTTGTATCTGCTATTTCCTTTGTCCCCCAAACAAGAGGTCATCAAGAAGCAGTTGTTTATTTCCCCCTATTTAATAAATCCTTTCTCAATTCTTGTTATTATTGTATAGAATGCATTAATTTAACACAGGTTTTATTTCCAAGTTGAAATAATTTAAATTACCTGCCACAGTCACTCTCAACAATGCATCCTGCATCTGTCTTATCCCCCCAAAGGACTTTAAGCCCCTAAATGGTTAAACTGTATGTGCTAAACTTGAGCAACTGAAATGTCATGAGATTCATTTAAAAAATAGCACCAGGGCCCTCCCTGGTGACGCAGCGGGTTAAAGCACAGCACTACAAGCCAGCGGCAGCCATTTCAGTGTGGTTTGAAGGTGAGGTGACCCAGGAGGTGACCCACATGGTATGGCAGATTTCTCCTGACCCGCCCGCTGCTCCCCTCAGCAGTGTACTTCGTCAGTCTGCCTGTTCTGCTCCCCACTATCTCTGGTGAATCCTCTCACTGTCCCTGTCTCTGGCCTGTACCCCAGTTCTGTATGTTCTTCAAAGAATTTAAAAGAAAAATAGCACAGGCCCTCCATGGTGGCACAGCGGGTTAAAGCACAGCACTGAGAAGCTAAAAGCCACTTCCGTATGAGTTCGATTCCCGCCGGCCCCGGAGGTGACCACATGGCGTGGCAGACCTCTCCTGACCCGCCCGCTGCTCCCCTCAGCAGTGTACTTCATTGATCTGCCTGTTCTACTCTCCTCTCTGTCTCTGGCGAAGCCTCTCGCTGCCCCTGAGCCTCTGGCCTGTACCCCAGTTCTGGAAGCACAAATAAATTAAATCTTTAAAAAAAAAAAAAAGAAAAGAAAAATAGCGCCAAAATGTAATAAGAATATTGTACTTGCAGAGTGATTTTTTGTAACAGAAAAGACTGGGGTTTTTTACCAAGTCATGGTCCTTCTTTATCTGAGAACTGCCCCCTCAAGCCTGAGATAGAGACTCAGCAAGTATATTTATTCCATTTGACTTCCACTCTGGGACCACAGATGAAAGATCAGGGCTGGATACTGGATTCAAGGTATGCCAGAAATGTTCTCCTCTGGCAGGCGAGCTGGGGGCCCAACAATATCCTGTCACCCAGAGTCAGGACTAAAGGTGAAGCAAGAGGACACCTAGTTGGCAAAAGTTACTTATGAGACCAAACCTTGAAGTCCTCCTGAAATTTTGCACCCAGGAAACTCTCTTGTCTTAACTTGGTCCTCTCCCTGAGCTCTTCATAGTGACTGAATCTAAAAATTCAGAAGCCAGATCCAGAAAATAACAGAAAACCAGTCTTGGATAGAGTATGGGAGTTTGAAGCTTCAGGGACAGAGAGAAATGTGATCGTTCTTATCCAGAGAAAACTCCTCAAGGAAAGGCAGCTCACTTATAAAGTCAGGGGTTTTAAGTATAAGGAACAAGAGATATGATATTGTAGGTCCCTGGAGGCACTGAGAGAATCGATCTTAGGACTAAAATTTGACTTTGGGTCTCAGCACTGAGTTGACTATTGTATGCTTGATGTTTTAGCTCCTCACTTTTCTGGTGCCCCTATTAAATGTGTTAATTTATTGATTTATCAGAAATTCTTTGTCATGATCATTTTAAATTCAATAATTGGATTTTTGACACTTTCACCAAAATACATACAAGAAATTAGATTACAGTTGATATGGTTTTGACATGAACAAACCAGTGAAACAGAGTGAGAGAGAAGAGAGACAGAGCAACCGCCTTAGTCAACTGTGTGTGCTTAAGAAAGGTGTCTCAGTTTTCCCAACCAAACAACACTAAAAAAGAGCCAGATGATTAGTAATTCTATAGTCACTTCCCTTGGATGTGGGTTAAATAAAGACATGTTTTCACAAGTTGATAAAGGCAGGTGTGCCATCATGGAATTTAGTATGTATCCAAAGCAAAATTCAACAGATTTTTTTCAAAAATTATTTGCCAGACTAACAGACTTCAACTAATCAGGCTAAGTGGCTTCTGCTCCTTATACTATACCCCTTACATATTTGACAGAGACAAGGAAAGTCTTAGATTAAAACACACATGTAAACACAAGAAAACTTCTACACTAGAGATTCTCATGTACAAAGCTGAGGAACCCTAGATTCTGCAAAATGTCACTAAAATTTTCAACAGAATTCAACAATTGTGAACCTCAAGAGTCGTGTGATGCTGTATACTCAGTGATGGATCATGACTAAGCAATCCTGTTAATGATTTTTTTTAAAGATTTATTTATTTATTCATACAGAACTGGGGTACAGGCCAGAGATGCGGAGGGTGAGAGGATTCATCAGAGACAGAGTGGGGTGTAGAACAGGCAGATCGACAAAGTACACTGTTGAGAGGAGCAGTGGACCGGTCAGGAGAGGTCTGCCATGCCATGTGGATCTCCTCTGGGGCAGGCGGGGATTGAACTCATGCGGAATTGGCTTAAGCCTCTTAATGCAGTGCTTTAACCCACTGCGCCACCAGGGGGGGCCCCTGTTAATGATTTTTATAGGTCTTTCATCTCCACAGAGTAGTGCATTAAAAGACCAGGTCGATTGGTTAAGTCCATTCACAGCTTTGAATGCATGACAGAGGACCTCACTAGCTCTAGATTGTAGATTGTGACTTTTTTCTCTAGGACAGGGGTTGTATACCTTGTTCATTACTCTACTCCCTATGCTAGTACCCTGCATCTAGTGATTGTGTAGTAAGTGAGGAATTAAATAAGAGAGTAAATGATAAGCGAAAGAACAAAGAATGACAGTGATAGAGAGAAATTTCTTAGAGTCTGAAGAACAAAAGCCAAATTGAATTTTTGTAGGCTGCTTCAGTAAATGGACTTTTCAAAATCTAATGGAATCTAATTTCCAGGTTTTGTCATATCCTTGCAGCTGAAGAGAGATTCTGCATACCATCGTGTTGAGAAACCAAGTGTGCAAAGAAATGACAGAATAAAAAGTAAGAACTCTGCTGCCCACATGCCTCAGCCTTGGCACAGGAAACCCTGAGATAGATATATGAGAGACTTAAAAAGTCTGAAAGCTCAGTCTTGTGGTTGATCAGGTTCCAGTCCTCTGGGTCAAAGGCACCAAGCCTTTGACTTGTGAGGAGAAGCAATCAAGAACTGACAAGACCCTACCTAGCACAGGAGGAGACAAACAAAAATGAACAAGTCCCTCACAGAGGTTAAAATTACTAATCCAGAAACAGAAATCTCATATCCCTTAGTAGCCTATCTTGATTTTTCCTCACAGTAACATTTGCTTCTTCTTCCAAGTCATTAACCTCTCTTCCAGAGAAACACTTCTCGAATCAAGAAGTGTTTGTAAGTTCACATTAGTAGGACCCTAATTTTTTTAGCCCAATGTACGTTTTGCTTCCAAAATAATCTCTGGACAATCTTGTGGTTAGGTTGACTCATCTGACATAAATTTGTGTTTGTGAGCAGTAAAACTACCCAAGATGGTGACTACTGGTTCCCTCTGAGACTGTGCTGCACACTGAGAAGAGAGAAACACAGGAAAGTGAAAACAGACTTCCCAAGTTGAAATCAGAAAGTAGTCCTTGCTGCTGAGGCAGTGACATCCCTGTCTCCCCGCTTACCTGAATTCAGTTGCAGGAAGCAGTCTGGGGCAGGAGGACTTGCAGAATCAGCTTAAAAGCACTGGACTCTTGCCTGTTGCTCAATGGTTTATAATCTTCAGAACACTCCACCCTATCTTTCAATGTTAAAATTATCCCCGCAGAAAGAGCCAGCTCCTCTCTGGTTTTAACACCCCAGAGACCAGGCTACCAGTGTGTTGCCAGGAGTCCAGTCAAGTTCTAAGCAGCTGGTGAGCTGTTTCATAAGAAGGTGTCACATTTCATCACACAGGCAGGCTTCTACGCTGCTTCCTTTTATTTATTTATTTTAATTTCTATTTATTAGTAATCTGATAGTGTTAATTAAAACCTGTTTCTTGATTTAGAAAGACTTCCTTGAACAGTTAATGTCATATTATCAGGCATGAAATAACATGAGAAACTACTCGGCAAACAAACATTTAGTCTCCTCTGGAAGAACTCTGCCTCAGATTTTAACATAGAATTGTATTTAAATTTGCAGTCATTAAGGCATGCCTCTACTTTATATTAGGGTTTTAGTTTTTGTCTCTATGGAAATTGATTTGCATTTTCTTCTTTTTTAAGCTTAGGGAACATAGGTTTATAGTACTATGATTCAAAGATCTAGGGCTACACCTCCTCAGATGGATGTCACCCTACCACACCCACCCATTTTCTTCCACCATAGTCCCTCCCCTCTTCATCCTCCCCCTCCCCAAAGTAGCCTTGTTTTTACAGTCAGGTTTCTAGATTTGCTTTTGGTTTGGTTTGGTCAGACCCTTTGTGTTGTTTTTCTAAATTCCATACATTGTTGAACTACACACTGTTTCTTAAGCTCTTTTCCTTGACTATTCTCAACTCTCAGCTCTAGTGTCTCTTACTTTGGTTCCTTCTCAGTCCCCTACTCTAAGCCAGTGTCACCTTTTGCAAAATTTACCAACTGAAAATATGACTCTTTGTCATAGGATTCCTTTAAGCTCATTATTTTTAGGAAACAGAAGATATAGGGGGGACTCTGAAAGATAAGGATTGTTGCCCTTAAAGACATTTCCATGTATAAAGGAAAATCTCCAATTGTAAGGGTCTCTGGGAATGAGGGGGATATCAGAAGAGGGGAGATGACCAAATCTCTTTACCTCTTATCAGTGAAAAGTCAGGGAAAATGGTACCTCCCTTCCTGGAGATGTGTCTGTAAGAAATGGTCAAAATGGGTCCTCCCTGGTGGCGCAGAAGGTTAAAGCACAAGCACAAAGAAGCTTAAGCCACTTCCCCATGAGTTCGATCCCCACCTGCCCTAGAGGTGATCCACAGGGCGCAGCGGACCTCTCCTGACCCACCCGCTGCTCTCCTCAGCAGTGTACTTCATCGATCTGTCTGTTCTACACCCCACTCTGTCTCTGGTGAATCCTCTCACCCTCTGCATCTCTGGCCTGTACCCCAGTTCTGTACGAATAAATAAATAAATCTTAAAAAAAAAAAAAGGAAATGGTCTAAATGCTAAATGTACAAAAGAGGCAACCTACAGATTTTGGACTGTGCTTCCAGGTTGTAAATTCCTAAAGAGTACAGACCATGTTTTCTAAATTTTGCATCTCTTGCGGCCACTACAGCATGAATTGGATTCCCGGCCAGGGAGGTGACCCACATGGCACAGCAGACCTCTCCTTACCCCACCCACTGCTTCCCTCAGCAGTGTATTTCAATCGGCCTGTTCTGCTCCCTATTCTCTCTCTCTGATGAATCCTCTCACCCCCTGCACCTCTGGCCTGTACCCCAGTTCAGTATAAATAAATGTTTCTTAAAATAAAAGGACAATGAGGGTCAACTGCAGGTACACACAAAGGGGTTTATTTACAAAAAAGGGAGAAAGAGAGAGAGATAAATTGGTGAATATGTCCTACCAGTTCTGCTGAGCTGGAACCCCAACAGCACGCTAGAGGCTGGCAAAAAGACCAAGCACCCCCAAGGCCCACATGTCTGGTTATATACCGAAACTGGCTGCTTAACTCCACCCTCAGGCCCCAGCATCCTCCCTTTGGTGGCGATGACATTATGGGATTTTTGTCTTGGATCTTTTTGATCTGGGGTGGGGTTGGGGTTCATGAAACCTGTTGTGGAATTTGTTCAGGACATTCTTTCCCCCGTGTCTGACCTTGCTTAGTTTTCTAATGATTCAGCTTTCTAATTAGTAATATGGGAGTGAATGATGAAACATATTAAAGGTAAAACTTAAGCCCTGAGGAGAAAGGGCTGGTAGGAACATGGTAATGTTTGGGAGAAAAGAAGGCTGTGTAAAATAATAAAAGTATAACCAAGTTAATATCTTATCCAGAGCAAACAACTTATTTATTAAACAGATGAAAGAAAAATGGAGGTTTTTATTTTTCTGTAAGCACACTATTGATATTAAAATTCACTTTTAAAACCTTATAACAAGTATACTCAATCTTATCAAGATTGATCATGCATATAATTGATTTCTGGAGATTTCTCTTCCATTAAGTCTAGTCCCAAGCAAAGAAGGCAACCCAGACTAGAACAGGATAGACTTTGACCAAAGGAGGGAATGAATTATGAGGAAATGAAACCACAGAGAAGTTTTTTTTTTGTCTTGCTTCCTGTTTGGAGTTTGGAAAATCAACTAAAAGTCATTTTGTGTTCTGGCAGAGTAGATGCAAAGATAGCACAAGACTGTCTTTGCAGTCCTGTTGCATAATAGGGTTCTGGGATTTTCCAGATACTCACAGTGGTGGCACAGAGCCATCTGAGAGTAGAAAGCCATCCACACTCCCCCGGATAATTATGGACAACACGTGAACTAATCTGTGAGTACACAATTCGGGGTCTGTAGATTAACCAGGGCCAAGGGCCTGATAAAGGGTGTAACTTGCACTCAGAGAATTGTTGAGGATGATAAAAGCCCAGCAAAGCAAATTCAATCTCAAAGGGTGTGACTGGGCTGTCACATGGCCTTGACAGCCAAAGGACAAACTCTGGTACGGGTAGTCCTAACTACCTCACCACACCCCTTTGCAAGAGGTCAAAGCCTGAAGAGGAGACAAATTACACTTCCACAGGCCAAAAAAACTGGCCAAAACCAGTTTTTTAATCTCAGTTTCCTGCCCCTGCCCCATGCCTGAAGGCTTTATAAAACTTCTTGCATCCAGATTTGGAGAGGAGGGCAGAGAATATATTTTGAAGGAGATAAGCATTGGGCTAGGATCTGATTTTCAAATTGATTAAATATTCACTTGACTTGGGTTATATAATAAATAGGAAAAGATTAAGATAACAATTAGTTAGATGGTTTGTGTCATTTTTCCCACATCATCAACACTCCTCATTCGAAAAAGGTGTTAGAAGGGAAAGCTGGTCCTATTTTAGAAAACTAGCCTTGTGTATATATGAGTTGTAGAGAATCAATATGGAATAGGCTTCATGCTATTCATTTAAAAATAGACTCCTGTTTCATCTTAGCCCCATCCTAATTAATAACTCATGAAATTTTGGGTTTGATAAAGCAGTAGTTTTTTCAGATATGTGCTAGTATAACCATTAAAATAAAAATGTTTCAGAGCCATCTAAAATCTTCTTGTGCTGTGATAGCAAAACTTATATAAAATTAAAAAAAAAAACACTATACCAGTTTACATAATTCCGAAAGCTGATACTTTATAATTTAAGGCAAATAATACTTACATTCAGACATATCAAGTAGGTGAAAAAACCTGGGGGAAATTCTGAGGGCTTCTTTTATAATGAGGTCATGTGGTAGAAACTATGATGTTTTCAACAAATACAATTCTTTTTCGTACTTCCTGTTCTAGTCTCGATTTCCCCAGCTTTCTGGCAACTATCCAGAACCAACTGGCTCAGAAGTCTTCTACGTAAGTAGGTGTATGTACTGTACACACCTATACATTCACCTGAAGGATCTGGAGCAGATTAAAAACTAATACCTACATGCAATATTATAAAAATACTTAAAGTTATAAACCAAGGGAACAGATTGTTCACTACAGTATCCTCTTTCGTCCTATCTTGAAATAAAAAATTTCATAAATACAGAAAAAAATTCACCTTTGCAGTGACAAAATCAATATTTGTAAAACCAATTACTTCTATGACACAATTGTGTTCAATTATACAACACATATCAAGTGCCGTGTTTCAATGAGTACTACTTTAACAATTCATAAATTATCATGAATTGTGTTCTTATTTTAGCAAAATAATTACAGATTTGAAATAAGACTTTTATAAAATTTCTGTTCTATTGATAGTAATTTCTAAATAGACAGTTATCTTTGAGTAATAATAGTGTCTTAAAGATTTTTTTTATTAATTTTAAGTTGGGGAACTTTTGTTCTGCTGAGGCAATAGAAACTGGAATGGTCAAGGTTTTTATTCATTAAAGTAATACTTAGGTCCAGAAATAAATCATCCACTTATATATTAACATTAAATACTGAATTTTTAAAGTTTTAAATGACAAATGACCATTATTGCAGAAAATACAAAATATTTTAATTTCATCATATGAAATTACCTTGTGATTTTTCATCCTTCGTAAGTTGTATCAGGATCAACACACTAATGTAAAGAGTTAGCATCACACTTCACACCTATTGTAACCACGTATACAAATACATAAAATAAGATTAATACAAAGTATTTGATATATTTTCAGCTGCCAAGTGAAGCTGTTGCTAGTACTACACTAATCCTGTATATCTCCAAGATGACTAATTCAAACAAGAAAAGAAAAAGAAAAAGCCCATTCTGCTATTGAGAACATCTTGTTATCAATTGTTATCAAAGAATCTGTCCATTCATGGTGTGGGGAGAGGAAAGAACCGGCATGTTAATTACTTTGCCTTTTCTCTTTATAGGAGTACAAAGTTTAATTCTCCCTGTATTTTGAAATAGGTTTTGTCCACTGTATCAACATTGACACAGCACTAATCACAGAATTCCCCCCCTTGTTTTACAAACCAGGGACAAAAGTGTAGGGCCTGAAATGGAGTTAGTCATGAGAACGAATGTTTTGGGATTGAAAATGTATCCACTACCACTGAGGCTCAGTTGCTTCTTGACAGACACTCACCTGTTCCTTGCACATAACTTGTAAATGTGAGTATGTGAGGTCTGTAAAGAGGAGGGGTCATCTAAAACACAGGACAGCAAGCTTTCTAAAATTTCCTGTACATGTGAACTATTCTAAAGTCAACATTTATTTAAAAAATATTGGCCCCAGTGAGGAAAGGAGGACATTAAATCCCCATCACTCTGGCCTGCCCCACAGAGTCAGTAAAATGAAATCTGCACTCTGATGAAAATGAAAAGTAATTTCATATATGACTAAATGCATGTGTGCAGGTATAATTGAGCTTAAGATGCCTGCCACTGTATCATGTAGGATAACAGAACACATCTGGAATTATATATCAAAAAAGCAGTACCAAATTGTTAACTTAGGCTTAGAGCCACATGCAGTGAAATGATGTCCACTTCCGAATAGAAGGGAGTTTTATGCCAGACCATTACTCAAACAACTAGAAAAATCATATTTTTTTAAAAAAAAGTTGTAATGTGGCAATGGTTACCCAACAACAGATTGTTGGTTGAATAATGTAATACCCAGTTACAGATCAATAGGCTATTAATCAGATTTGTTATTAAGACTATAAAGGTAACTGGAAATCTTCATGATTTGATGGTGGGGACATGATGTCACACACAATTTTAAACTACAGAAAAAGTTTTTCATCTGGAAATATATAAAATGTTAAGTGATTATCTGCACAGTGGGAAATGCCTCCTCCCCACACACAGTGTACTTTTATAGTAGAAAAATTGACACGCTAAAATAATGAGAGAAAAGTCCATTTTATGCTGCTGAAATATGTACTGTTTTTGTAAGACCATTCCTTGAATTCTCTTTTCTTTATTGGCATATTTTGTAAGTTCCATGTAAAATTTGTAAAGCTCCAACTAAGTAAAATAAGTTAACTGATAACTTTCTTAGAGAGGAAACATTTAACTATTAACAATAAACCTATTATAATTCACATTGGTCTCAGCCAACAGGTTAGCAAATTTAACATAACCATTTTAAGAAAATTAAAGGTCATTATATTGACATCTATTACTTTTTATCTTATATTGAACTGTAAACCATTGACGCCCTCTAGAGTTTACGATGGATGTGCAGTTTGCCTTCTGTTACCTAAACTTTTCAGCTCTTTTCTCCCACTTCAGCAAAAGCCTCTAAAATGTTAGACACATTACCTACACACTTTTAGGGATGTAGAAGTTCAAGGCCCACAACATGGAGGAATAGAGAATTTCTGTTAAACTACTCCCCTAAATACACTATGGAAATATTGAATTTTGCTCCTAGGAAATTTCAGGTGAGAGAGTTGCCCCCACGGAGGCAGCCCTACTAGTCATCCTGTAAGTTGGGCAGATGATGTGGGCACATGGACCATGTTAGGGGATTTTTTTTCAGCAAGGAGAAAAGCCCTGTCTGCAATCACACAGGGACTGGGGCTGTTTAAGTGGTTGCAGAGAATCTGGCTGTTGGCAGCTCTGGGGAGTGATGCTCCTCTCCCCTACCTCCTGGGACATCTGAGAGACATGCTGCATAGTCTAGAGGGGTGTCAAGGCGGCAGGACCTAGAATTTGGGAGGTACAAGAAAAACACTCCTTGCTCTGGAAAGCAAGGAAAGAAGAAACAGAATAAATCTCTGCCTGGACTAACCGTCCCTCCCCAAGATTGAAACTGAGTCTTTCTACTCCAGTAACCCCTCCTTCACCTGACCCCAATTTAAGACAAAATTAAAACCATTGTGCTCTAACTGGAAAAAGCACATAAGGCAGCATGCACGTTTAGGAACAAGCAGCATATGAACAAGATGGAAAAGCTGAAAGAGAAGACTAGAAGAAAGGACAGAGTTCGAGGACCTCACAAAGATTTTAGAACGCACTGTTAGAGGCCAGTCTCACTGCAGAGGTGGCATCTCATGATTATAGTTTGCATTTCTTACAATATGTGACAAAGCATTTTTTCCCACATGCCTGTAGACCTTGTAGATGTCTTTGGAAACCTGTCTGTCCCCCGTTCTTTGTTCTTCGTTGTTGAGTTGTATGAGTTGTCTATTTTTTTTTTTTTAAAAGATTTACTTATTTGTACATACAGAACTGGGGTACAGGCCAGAGGCTCAGGGGTGGTGAGAGGCTTCACCAGAGAAGAGTGGGGAACAGAACAGGCAGATTGACGAAGCACACTGCTGAGGGGAGCAGCGGGCGGGCCAGGAGAGGTCCGCCAGCCATGTGGTCACCTCCGGGGCAGGCAGGAATCGAACTGATGCGGAAATGGCTTTAGCTTCTGATGCGGAAGTGGCTTTAGCTTCTCAGTGCTGTGCTTTAACCCACTGCGCCACCAGGGAGGGCCTGAGTTGTCTATTTTGGAAATTAATCCCTTGTTGGACATGTGATATAAATACCTTCTTCTAGTCTGTAGGCTACCTTTTTGTTTTTGTGATTTCCTCTATGGCTTTTAGCTTGATGTCCCATTTATTTTTCTTTATTGCCTCATTGTTGGAGTTGTATCCCCAAATGCATCTGTTGCTGATGTCCAGGACTTTAGCTCTGTGTTTTAAGTATCTTATGATTTTTGTTATTTCCAAGTCTTTAATTCATTTTAAATTTATTGTGTATGGGCTTCAGATCTAGTTGTTGTTTTTTTTTCACATGACTGGCTTTCCCAACATTTCTTAAAGAGGCTTTCCTTTCTCCATTGTAAGGTCATAGCTCCCTTGTCAAGATTAATTATCCACATTCACGTGGATTTATTTCTGGGCTCTCTTTTCTATCCCATTGGTCTGTTTCTGGCTTTATTCCAATACCAAACTGTTTTCATTACTATCACTGTACTATGGTTTGAAGTCAGTATGATACCTACATCTTTATCTTTTCTCAGGATTGTTTTGGTCATTCAGGGTCTTTCATGGTTCCATACAAATTTTTTAAATCCTTGAAGAATGTCACTAGAATTTTGATAGGCATTTTACTGCATTTCTAAGGTCCTTTGTTAATATGGCCATTTTAAACAATGAGTCAAATTCTGTATGTAAAAATCATGCTTCCATGCTGAACCCTTCTTACACAGAAGCAGAAAGGATGTAACAGCTCGAATGACAGGTTCCAGATACACCAACACATCTGAAGTTCTTATATGTAGAAGTTACTCAAATCTGCCTGCTGTGACATTTACAGAGCATGACATTACTGTACTTTTTCTTATAAACATGCCAGAATTTATATATCAAACTGGTTTTTTAACCTTTTCAATGGTGTTACCTTGAGAGAATAAATTTAATTTCCTTTGTTCAAAATTTCTTCCAGTTATCAGCTGAGTCAAACTAACACAGTGGAAGAAATTCTCTTCCCAGCCAAATCTAAAGTTGAACAAAAATTATTCTTACCTTAATCACTGATTTTGTCACTCAGATTCATCTAATAACTATTTGAGTTAAAAAAAAAAATAAAATTCAACACACTTTAAGAAACCTACTTTAATTCCAAAAGAGATGAACCCAGAATGAATACTATAATTTTCTATTTCTCGTGTAGAAAGTGAAACATCTAAAGTATTCTGACTTACATGTTTATAAATGTTTATTTGCATATGTACATATATGTATATTATTATTTAATAATATCCCCTTAGCTTAGGAGTTAATAGAATCCAGACTTCCTTGAAACTATTATTTTCTACTTCTGAAGAGTAAAGACCACACTTAAGGCTTGTAATGGCCTTAATCACAGTCTCCTCTGAGAAAAAAATTCATAAATTACTAATGACCTGATTCCATTAAAAAAGCAAGTTTCAGCAAATATGAAAAAGAAAGTCTTGTTATTAATTCATGATATGAGAGGGGAAAGGCAATATATTCTTCACAGAAAAAGCCATTTTATAAAGAAGTTCTGATAATATATCACAAGGCTAAGCATCAAAAAGTCTGAGAAGCAGTCCCTTTGCCCAGCATGACTTTAATAAGCTTTTCTGAACTATTCAATAACCCCAGGTGATTTTTAAATTGGGAGGCAGATTAGTGGAAACAAGTTCATCAAACTTAGATCTATCCTGAACAGGCACACTATAGAAATCAAGAACATCGCTGACCCTGCACATCTGGTGAAGCCTGGAGTTAGGCACTGCGTGGCCCAAGTCATTAGCTAAACGTGCCAAGAAAGTGAACTTCAGGTGACCATCTTCCAGAGAGACATCCTGCCAAGTGCCAGGAACAGATGAACCAAAAATTTCCTTGACATAAGATTCCAAACGACTCTGAAGATCTTCGGGTGGGATGTATGTTCGACTTCGTAAGGGTGGAGATACCAGGCTAGGTTCCTTCTTCACCTCTTCTACTACCTCTGTCACCACTGGCTTTTCCTCTTTTCTGGAATGATCAAAAACAAATATATAAACCTTTGGTTCAAATAATTAATTGACAAACAGAAACACCAAGCTCACCAATCAAAATTAACAAATAATTTGCATATCTACAAGTTCAGAGTGGCATTGTGGAGAAGATAGGTCTTTGTTCTAAGAACACATTTTAACTGAGCTTACACAGACATAAAACAAAAGCAAATTACAGATTTTAATATTCTAAAAATGCCCAAGAATGAGTAAAGAAGGCAGATCTTTCTGTCTGGGATTCCCAAAAGATGTAAACCCAATCTTTGTCTCTAATCTACCACAAATCTGTACATCTTCCATGTCCTATCTAAACTGCATCCTGCTCTGAGAACAATAAAAATGCAATAGGACATCAGAGGATCTTACAGCTGTACTGATTGGGGAAATTAAGTAAAGCTTTCTGGAAGAGAATGGTTTTGCTCCAGAAATTAAAGGGTAAATAAGGTTTTGCTCCAGAATTTAAAGGGTAAATAATGGTTTTGTTCCAGAATTTAAAGGGTAAATAAGAGCATTCGGTACCTGAAATGCATGGTCAGCACTGTTTATTTTTTTTTTTAAAGATTTATTTATTTGTGCATACAGAACTGGGGTACAGGCCAGAGGCTCAGGGGCGGTGAGAGGATTCACCAGAGACAGAGCGGGGAGCAGAACAGGCAGATCAACGAAGTACACTGCTGAGGGGAGCAGTGGGCGGGTCAGGAGAGGTCTGCCACACCATGTGGTCACCTCCGGGGCAGGCGGGAATCGAACTCGTGCGGAAGCGGCCAAGATTCTCAGTGCTGCGCTTTAGCCCGCTGCGCCACCAGGGAGGGCCCAGCACTGTTTATTTTTTAAAAATTAATGGAAGAGAAAGGTAAGACGACAAATACAGCTTGCTTTGCAAGATGAACAAACAGGGGACAACAAAAGAGACTGGAGCCCACCACTCGCTGAGCGCCGCAGAGAAGCTGCAGAACACACAAACCTACGGCGCTTGTTCGCGTCCTTGCTCGGTGAGGCCCAGGACCAGTGTCCCGTCTCAACAGCATGACACTTCTGAATTCCACCCTTCATCCTCCTCAGCTCCTTTTACTTTCCGTGAACGTGACCGACCGTCCAACCGTCCGTTTTACCTGAATCGAGACCAAATTTCTCTGCGCGGAGCCCTTAAGAAGGTGCACGTGAGACATCTGGTAACTCTGCTCACCGATAGCGCCGCCATCTCCAAGGAGAATTACAGACCAGAGCCCCGCCCCCAGCCGGCAGTGACGCGCCAAGACCAGCCAATCGAGTACAAGTTGAGGCAGGAGTTCCCGGTTTCCGGTTAAGACGCACCAGAGGCTCTCTCGCCCTTTGCACGCCGGGAAATGTAGTCCAGCGGCCTTTGCCAGGGGAGGACGGACCGGTGCTTTCTCTCGGAGCATGACGGGAGTTGTAGTTGGGGGGCGTCCCGGGAAGGTTCCGGGTGACGCCTTCTGGTCCGGGGGCGGGCGGTCATATCGCTACTTGGCTCAAAGGAGGAGAAATTGGCAACCGGGAGAGGCTTTAGGGAGGCCTGAATGGCTGCGCAGTCAGGCAGGAGCGAGGGTTCGACTTGTGGGTTGGCCATGGAGAGAGTCTGATATGCTGCTGGGGTCGTGACCGCTTGGGGACCGAGGCAGGACCTGGCCAGATCCAGCCTGGAGGCCTCGCCTTCATCGGGCCTAATTTCCAGCGGCCGGGTAGGCCGCACCAGAAGTTGCTGTCCGTACGGTCGCCCCGTGTTCCTGCCCTAATTTTCAGGCCGGGAGATGGCTTCCCCGAGCCCCACGCCGGAGCCAAAGGTAAGTCACCCCTCGGGGTATCGGGTTCTTTCGCCACTATCCAAAACCAGACCGCTCCATCGCCGCCCCACCTCCCCGACAGGGGTCTGTAGGGCCAGCGCAGGGCAGGGGAATAACCCCTCCTCTGGGCTGTGGTTGAGACCTAACTGCCCGCCGCTCCCTTTCTCCCCAAGAGGGATGTGATACATCAGCTACAGAAAATATGCTCAGAACTATCGCTCTCATTTTTTAGTTTTTCCAAGTGCAGCACCATTTTTCACCCTCCCAGTGTCTTCTGTTAGGATGTCTGGCCCCAAGGTAGATATTTAGAAAACTTCATGGAGCTGACCTGAGTCACAAGCCTTTGCAAATGGAGAGTTGGATCCTGTTAGGGAGGTGAAGAAAGCTTGGGAAGAGGCCTTGAGGGCACCTTTCTAAATCTAAAAAAATTAGTCCATAACTATTAAATCATAACACCTTTGCTCTAAGGGCCGGTCACTATCGAGGACAAGGATTCAGCTCCATCTCTGTTATCCTCTACTTGGAGGTGCCAGTCTGTTGCAGTTGTTCCTAGAATTGGGCCCCATTTGGAATTCCTAGTTATCATATTCCTCCTAGCCTCAGGGGCCCAGAGAAGTGGTTGTTTCTGCTACTCTCAGTGGTAGAATTGTCCTTGAGACAACAAGAACTGACCATAGAAATCATACTATTTCAGGGGTTGCTGACATTTGAGGATGTGGCTGTGTTTTTTACCCAGGAGGAGTGGGATTATCTGGATCCATCTCAGAGAAGCCTGTATAAAGATGTCATGATGGAGAATTACGGAAACCTGGTCTCACTGGGTAAGAATCTGCCGTTTCTCTGATTCAGATATCTAAGAGCCTGTTAGAAAACAGTCTGTGAGAACACTTGTACCAAAGGTGCTTTGCTCCAAATTTCTATTTGGAGCCATTAGTTGTTTCCATATTGCTATCCCTAGAGTCCTTGCAGTGACCAAAATACAAGCCTTTCTTGCCTCTTATCTTCATAATCTCATTCCCATATTGCTCTGTACTTTCCCTCCTGGCTCATCTTCCCACTACTTCACTCCCACCCTTTTCACTCTGCCTTCTGGAGCCCCTGTTCCTCTTCACATAATGTTCCTTACCCCTCCTGGCCTTAACTGAAACCTGGCACTTTCCCAAGGACACTTCTCTGGCAGGCGTTGCTTATTCTCCCACATCCTCTTCCTTCCTATTCTTTGTCTTAAGGCTGGAAAGGGAGGAGTTACTGATCTCCCAGCTTTTCAGTGTTGTTCCCAAAGTGTTAGTTTTCATTTAAACAAAATTCATCTCCTTTGAGACTCCACCATTCTGCTCTACCCACCCAGTTTCTTCTCACTGTTAATTTTTTTCATCCTTCACACATAGTCACATTTCAGAGTATTCTCGACTCACTCACTCCATCTACGATGCACTCATTATTTATGCCTCACAATCTTAACCAGGTTGTCCTCAGTGACCCTGCTTTTTATTTTTATTCAACGGTTATGATTATATTCCTAACTCACTGGTTATAGCCTCAGTTTTTGTCGTAACAGGCAAATCTTAAACCCCATTGTCATCTTTGATTAATTTATACAAACAACGAATATTCATTGACTGACCAAGTAGGAATAATGAAAACAATGATCTCTACCCGTGTGGGGCTTCTTTTTGTCGTAACAGGCAAATCTTAAACCCCATTATCATCTTCTTTGATTAATTTATACAAACAACGAATATTCATTGACTGGCCAAGCAGGAATATTGGATCTCTGCCCTTGTGGAGCTTCTTACCTTTCTACCTCTCCTACTCCTTATCTCTCCTTCCCAAAGAATGAAACCTATTCAATATTAATGATGTTTCCTATTCTCTGACTTCTCCAATTTTGTTTAACCAATCTTATTAATCTCCTCCTGACTTTACCTCCTCATGTGCTCTATAGACCTGTATAGAAAGATCACCAGAATGCTCTTTTGCCACCTTCTCATTCTTAATCTTGTGCAATTTCTTATCTTGTGGTGTTGGTAAAATCTGTTTTGTTTTTCTCCCACCTGAGTTGCTCAACACAGTAGGAGAAATTCTTTAACAAAAGGATTGATCTTGATATACCTGCATTTTCCTTACTTTTATTTTCTATGGGGTTTTTAGACCTCAGCAAATTTTTTATCCTTAACTTACTCAGTCCTTTGTTTATTAAAAGATTTGCAAAAGTTCAAAGAGTTTTCCTTGAGTCCATTACTCAACTGTGGACCTTAACCTGTTTCACAGAGGCCAATAAACCATTTTCAATTTTTCTTCCCCTTACGGGGGCATCTATCTCAATTCTACAAGAACTTAGCCATCAATCATCTCTCCCTCCCACCCCCAATTTGTAGCTTCAGTCTATTCCTTCTCCCCCAGTAGCTTTCAACAGGAGGAAGAAAAAGAAAAACTCCTTTAAGCCAGTCTCTCTCTCGCCGCTCCATGTAACCTGCTATTTATTCTCCTCACAGCCAAGTTTATTTTTTAAGAGTAGTTAGTGTATGTTCTGTGCTTCCGTGCCTCTCATTATTTTGCAGCTCTTTATCTTGCCTCTACTTCCCTTAAAGTATTTAACATATCGTGACTTGATTGTCAAATACAGCAACCCAGTTGTCAAACGCAATAGGCTAATTTTGGATCTTATTTTATTCCACCTCTATAGATATTTCAAATTCTTTGTTGTTTGTTTTCATTGCTTTGCATTCTTAGATTTCCTCTTGGTCTTTATCATTTCCTTGACAGACCTAATTTGCATACAGGTCACCAGCTGTGGTGAGAAGTCTCAAATCTCTTACTCTCCGCCTAAGACAGGCAATTGAATCACACTGCTTAAGTAAAAATCTTGGTCCCACTGTGTGACCCATGTGTGAATCACTTAACTTCTCTGTGCCTTAGTTTCTCTTTTTATAAAGTAGAAATAATAGCAGCCACCTCTTAATTAATAAGCACTTAGGACACTGACTAGCATACAGTAAATACAATATGAGTGTGATTGCTATTATCATTGTTTTTTCTCTTGAGCTCCAGATTCCTAGTTGTTTCCTTTTGTAAACCACATAAATAACTCAACACCTGGCAAATCTCAAATCTATTCTGAACGACCTCCTTTTCAGAATTAAACACTCCTTTCTCTATGCTACTTAGAGTACTATCATTGTTGAATTTATCACACTGTGCTATATTTATTCTTTATGTGATTTCTCTCTCTAGATTGATCTCCACAAGTATTTTATTTATTTGATTTCTCCAGCACTTAGCACAAAGCCAGGCATATATTGTATACTTTTTATGTATTTTAGTACTTGCGTTAAGACTCAATACCTCTTAATTATTGCATTACCCATAAACTAGCTTTTGCCTCCAGTCTCCCTTTCTTTTAATGTATTTTCTTTTCTGCCACTAAAGTGATTTTGTATCACCAAAGTGATCTAATGATTTCCTGATAGCTTAAAAGATAAAAATCTTCATCTTACCCTACGCACTGGGGCCTATCCTAATACAGTTCCTGCCTAGCTTTCTGCCTCTTCTATTATTTCCTGCATACCACTCCAGCCCTACCAGCTGCTGATTTTTTTTTCAATATGCCATTTTTTTTTTTACTGCCAGCTTTATCTACACATATGGTATCCTAGGTGATAGAACCAGACAAACGCCGGCCTTGCCTGTCCCTCCTGCAAAATGTGAGTACCATATGGACAAAGGCGTGGCAATGAGCCCATTGCATTCTCCTATTTTTAGGTATTCTTTTTATTTTAGCTGAAATGCAGGTTTGCTTCATTTATTATTTCTTCCTCCACTATCTTTTCATCCTCCTCTTTAGACTATCTCCATTCCCTTGAGAAGACTTTTTAAATAAGCTGTTTTACTCAACTGTTCCAGTGTTCTATTTCCTTCACTTCATCTTGCTGCCTTACTTAGCACAACTCTTTTCTAGCTTTGTAATTGCAGTTCTTCATTTATACCTTTCCATGCTGGCTTAAAAAAAAAAAAAAGAAGCAGTTTTAATAACTACATTGATGGTACAGCTGACTGCTTGATTTCTCAGTTATCTTCCAGTTCTTTACATTGGAATCAACTTCTTCCCTTTTAATGGCTTCTTTCCAGTCTACTTGTGGCAGTATTAGGAATTGTTTTATCTACAACCTTAATTTCATTGTTTCTCTTCTTTGATTAGAGTTCCTCTTAAAATTTTGTTCAGGTACTCATCCATTCATAAACAGTTGTCACAGTGTTCTAGCCCCAGGAATTCAAGTTCTCTGATTTTGGTATTATTTGCCAAGAAAACTGTTCTTTATATATTCTTTTGGATGATGTGTTGGCAGCTATGGCTCACAAGTCATATCTACTCCACTGCTGTTTTAGTTTTATTTACAAGGTCATAAGTCTGTGACCTTGATAGGACATGCACATGTCCATTCCTTTATGTGTTATCTCTGACTACTTTCACACTACCATGGCAGAGTTGAATGCTTACAACAGAGACTATATGGCTCATGAAGCCAAAAGTATTTGCTATTTGATCCTTTACAGAAAGTTTGCTAACTTCTGTTCTGTCCTAAAGTTCAGTTATTCTCAATTGCCTTCTCTTTCCTCAGCTACTGATTTAACTTCATGAAGTAAATAGCAGAGGAACCATTACTTTGAATTGAATCTTACAGAAAAATTTGGTTCATAAGATAAACAATTTGGGGAACATAGAAAAACAGGCTATGCAAAGAAATGGCATAAAAGCAACAACACAATATCAATTTAAGGTAGCTTCAGCCAATAAGAAAAGTTATTACAGTTATTACAAACAATAGATGGTTTATGAATGTATGTGCAGGATTTTAACTGGACATCAGAAAAGGACTGAGATAGAAAGCTGATTCTAAGTGCATCTCTTCCCGGAATTTGGAAATGAAACTGACAGAATGCTATGTTTATGGTGTTTCTCCCTGACTGGCCTTTCTACCTATGTCCATGTCTTTCCAGCTCCTGAGTTGGTAGGTCATAAGTCTAGTCAGTCTTAGCTTTTCTGTGTTTAAATTTCCACCTTACCCCCCCAGATTGCCCCTCTTGGACAGTTTCTGTTTCAGTTCCAAATTCCTGGTAAAGATGTACTTTGCACAACTGTCTAGACAAATAAGCTATGATCACAGGATGGGAGCTTGTAATATAGACGTGGCGATAGTAGGTAACTATAGTGCTACCAAGGCAATGGAATGGATGGTCACATCGAGGCTGCTCTGTGGAGAAAACCTAGACTCGCTTGTTTGTCTCATGTCTAATAAGGCAAGTTCATTTTTATTCTTTTTCAGTATATACTTGCTACTTCATTCTTCTAGTTGAAATTAATAATCATTGGGGCTTTTTGTTTGGTAGGGCTTTTAAGGGGAATGCAGTTAGGTTTATAGATTGTTTGGGGAGGAGGGTACAATTAAACCATTCTATTGACTCTCTAGCAGTTTGGTTGACTGCTATGTCCTTCAGAAAATTTTATGATTTCCTATGGATCTCGCACATTTCTTGATAGATTTATTCCTAGGCTTTATGGTTTTTGTTACAATTGTGAAGAACATTTTTTCTACAATTTTTATTGTAATATTTAACTACTTATTCTTGGCAGGAAGAAATAGTACTTATTTTACTTAATATTCTTGTTGTTATATTTTAATGAATTCTTTTAGGACTTTTAGATAGACATATCATCAGCAAATAATGATAATTATTTCATATTCCTTTGAGCAAGACCCCAGAACAGTATTCATTGGGTTAACATTATAAAAAGATATTATCCTTTCCCGGTGATTTATAATCCAATGGAAGGAACAAATACTTTAAAATGAAGTATGATAGCTATAATGGAGTAATGGATAAGGCCTGGTCATAAAAAAATTCTGTCTTGTAAGCTTCATGAAGTAAATAGCAGAGGAACCATTACTTTGAATTGAATCTTACAGAAAAATTTGGTTCATAAGATAAACAATTTGGGGAACATAGAAAAACAGGCTATGCAAAGAAATGGCATAAAAGCAACAACACAAGCAGTTTACCCACTTAAAGTGGAAGTGGGGTAATTTGAACCATGGGAACTATACCATGAAGTGCGGAGTATCATAAAGAGCTATGATTTGTTCTTAAAGGTGGTGTAGCGTTAATGAGTCAACAGGTAGTGACTTGAATAGAATTTCATTCTATGACGATCTCTGGAGTCAATGAAATAAATGTGGAGTGGGGGCAGCTGAAAGAGCCACAGATTGATAAATAGCTTTTGAGTAATACATGGAACATGGTTGTGATAGTAAAAAGAGAGATGCTGTAAAGAAAAAACATTGATTTTGATGATTGATATGAGAACAGTAGAAATCCTGGAAATCCTGCATTGAGACTTCAGAAATGTAAAGAGAAGATGATGGAGTTAGAATTATGGGACTAGGGGCCCTCCCTGGTGACACAATGGGTTAAAACAGCACTATGAAGCTATCCGCAGCCACTACAGCACGTCAAGAGTTCCATACTCTACCAGGGAGCTAACCCACATGGCGTAGCAGACCTCTCCTGATGCACCCGCTGTTCCCCTCAGCAGTGTGTTACAGTACATCTGCCTGTTCTGCTCTCCACTCTGTCTCTGGTGAATCCTCTCCCCCCCCCCCCACACCTCTGGCCTGTACCCCAGTTCTTGGATGCATAAATAAATAAATATTTTTTAAAAAGAAATAATGGGAGTAGATGATGACAATCATGTTAATTGTGAGTCCTTTCTAAGACCTATAGAATGAAGCTATTTAAAGAGTGTATATGGAGAAGGTATGGCTATAAACATGAGTAACAGTAACATTTAAGAGTGAACAGAAGAGAAATTAATGTAGAGAATGTATTAGTAAAGTACAAAGAAGCAGTAGGAGAACTAGAAAAATGTAATAGAAATAAAAAAAAATAGTATCAGGTGCTCCTATGTAAAATAAGGACTGAAAAATGTCCATTGTGTCCATTATATTTGTTATTTGGAAGTCATGGGTGATTTTTTTAAGTTTCTCTAGAGGCTAGAAACAAAACTAGATGGTTTCATAATAAGTTGTAGAAAACATTGAATGGGAAATGGTTGGTCATGAAAACACAGTTAGGAAATGGAGAGCTACATTCTTTTTATTCCTCCCCCGGTCCCCACTCCCAGAGCTTGACTTTCATCAAAAGAAGGATTTCAAGTTCAAATAAAGTTAGGCACATTTGCATGTTTGTAGGGAAGGCATCAGTGGAAAATACAGAAAGAAAAAAATGGCAATAGTTGAACAATTAACAACAGATGACTGGGATAAAAATGGGATAAATAGATTAACCTTTGATGGGAATGGGATGTATCTTGATATATGTACCATTACAAATAAGGTAAGGGGCAGAAAATTGAGGAATTTTCTCATCCTTTCTAATTGCATGAAACAAAACAATTAGTTTAAAAGAAAATTTGGAAGATTACTATAAGGAACCTAAGTAGAAATAAAGTTTCTAATAATTTCGTAGGGTAATTGGAGAAAGTTTTTCTGGAATAAAATAATTTATGAGCAGTTTGAAGTTAGTGAAAAGAAGATTGAAAGATGTTTCCACACATTGAAAACTGGAAAATTGAGAGGAAAAGAAAATAGTTTAGGGTCAAATATAAAGTTAGCAGCATTGAATCTTCTAGTGAAGTTACCCAACATGCAGCAAGAAAAGAAAATCAGGAAAGTGTTCAGAGACAGAATTAAGTGTCCTATATGCCACTTTTTTTTTTTTTTTTACTACAAACATCATTGTTTTCCTCTAGCAGATGCAAGAATTTCATTTTTAAAATGCCATATGACCTCTTAGAACTAGTTTACTCCAACTGGGGTCTTGTATTTTTACAAGAGTTAGAATTATGTATACTTAAAGAATATGATATATTTGGTTGTGGGTGAGTCAAGCTTTCCAGGCTGCTCCTTTTCTTTGTTTCTTCTATTAGTTGTGACCATGTTCCTTTATATTCATTTTCCTCTGTCTTTTTATGTCAGACTCCACATCACTTCAACTCATTATATAAAGGAAAAAGCCATTTTGTCTTGATACAGGGTCTGCTTTTTATTTAATGTTTTCTTATATTCTTTCACCATTTAAACTTGCCATTCATTCCATTTGGCACAGGGCTTTCATGTCTTACCTCTGGATCCTGGCTCATACTGCTGTGCCTGGAATGGTTTTGATTGCAGTTAAAAAAATCCTTAACAGTGAATGATCCATTGCTTCCTCTGGTTTTTGCCTTTTGTCACATCATTTTTTTGTCTTCCTTTTCTGTCAGTTATTTGATTTATTAACATTTCTATGATGCTGTGTCATCCTGAATTTCCTGGAACCTACTATTTTCCTCCTGTTAGCCTTTCTTTGATGATAGACTAGTTCATCCCACCAATGCTTGTTCTATTTCTTTATTTGCCTGTCTTACCATTCATAATTTATTATTGATTTACCGATTCTTCCTCCCAGCTCTACCTTCCTCTACAGATACTTCTTTGCCTACTAAATAGTCCTTTCATTCCTCTTCTCCAAGAAAAACATCTATTACATAATTTAAGTAATACTACATAATAGTATTTCTATATCTTGCACTGTTCTTTGGATAGTGTTGTAAAGGCTTCATAAATATGAGCTAAATAAATCTTCACAGCAGTGCTGTGAGATAATAAACTATACTTTATAGATGTCATGTATCTTTAATTATCTTATTTTTATGACATTTTCTCTTTGCTAGCCAAGAATTTGGCTGATGTTTCTATTTTTTATTTTAGATGTTTTGAACAGAGATAAAGATGAGGAACCAACTGTGAAACAAGAAATTGAGGAAATTGAGGAAGAAGTGGAACCACAGGGTGTAATAGTCACAAGAATTAAAAGTGAAATTGACCAGGACCCCATGGGTAGAGAAACCTTTGAACTTGTTGGTAGGTTAGATAAACAGAGAGGAATCTTCTTATGGGAAATACCAAGGGAATCTTTGACCCAGGAACAGAGAATGTTTAGAGGCAACACTAACATCCGTAAAAGACCAAATTCAGAAGAGAAATGCCATAAATGTGAAGAGTGTGGAAAGGGTTTTGTCCGCAAGGCCCATTTTATTCAACATCAAAGGGTTCATACTGGGGAGAAGCCTTTTCAGTGCAATGAATGTGGGAAAAGTTTTAGTCGCAGTTCATTTGTTATTGAACATCAGAGAATCCACACTGGGGAGAGGCCCTATGAGTGTAATTACTGTGGGAAAACCTTTAGTGTGAGTTCAACCCTTATTAGACATCAGAGAATCCACACTGGAGAGAGACCATATCAGTGTAATCAGTGCAAACAGAGCTTCAGCCAGAGAAGGAGCCTTGTTAAACACCAAAGGATTCACACAGGTGAGAAGCCCCATAAATGTAGTGACTGTGGGAAGGCCTTCAGTTGGAAGTCACACCTTATTGAGCATCAGAGAACTCACACTGGTGAGAAACCTTATCATTGTACCAAATGTAAGAAAAGCTTTAGTCGAAATTCATTACTTGTTGAACACCAGAGAATTCACACTGGGGAAAGACCCCATAAATGTGGTGAATGTGGGAAAGCCTTTAGATTAAGTACATACCTTATACAACACCAGAAAATACACACTGGTGAAAAGCCTTTTCTTTGTATCGAATGTGGAAAAAGCTTCAGTAGGAGCTCGTTTCTTATTGAACATCAGAGGATTCATACAGGAGAGAGGCCTTATCAGTGCAAAGAGTGTGGGAAAAGCTTCAGTCAACTTTGCAACCTTACTCGTCATCAAAGAATTCACACAGGAGACAAACCCCATAAATGTGAGGAATGTGGAAAAGCCTTTAGTAGAAGCTCAGGTCTTATTCAGCATCAGAGAATTCACACCAGAGAGAAGACTTACTCATACAATGAAACTAAGGAAAGTTTTGATCCAAGTTGTAGTCTTGTTATACAGCAGGAAGTCTACCCTAAGGAAAAATCTTACAAATGTGATGAATGTGGGAAAACTTTTAGTGTCAGTGCACATCTTGTACAACATCAAAGAATACACACTGGTGAAAAGCCCTACTTATGTACTGTATGTGGAAAAAGCTTTAGTCGGAGCTCATTTCTTATTGAACACCAGAGAATACACACTGGTGAGAGACCCTATCTGTGCAGGCAGTGTGGCAAAAGCTTTAGTCAACTTTGCAATCTTATTCGACATCAGGGTGTTCATACAGGTAATAAACCGCATAAATGTGATGAATGTGGCAAGGCCTTTAGCCGGAACTCAGGCCTTATTCAGCATCAAAGAATACACACAGGAGAGAAACCCTACAAATGTGAGAAGTGCGACAAAAGTTTTAGTCAACAGCGAAGCCTTGTCAACCATCAGAAGATCCACTCAGAGGTGAAAAATCAAGAAACTCATGAATGTGATGCCTGTGGCGAAGCCTTCAATTGCCGCTTATCTCTTTTGCAGCATCAAAAATTGCATACTGCGTGGATGCAGTAAACGTAAGAGAAATACTTTAGCTCAATTTGACTTGAGACTAGCTACCCAAGTGCAGTTTCAGTACGGCTCAACCTGAGTCTGACATTTGCTGGTAAAGCAGGTTTCCCTTTGCTTCACCCAAATGGTTTCTAGAGTCTGTGAATAACGGACAACTGCTTATGGGCATTTGAAGATTTTATTCTTTGTTTTGATGATGATAAGGACTGAGTGATTTATGTACACATCTTTCTTTAACAGTTGAAACCCATGGTCAGAGCACTTAGTTAAAAGGAGGACAAAGTTGCATTGGTACAAGAGAAGTAGAACCAGCTAATGCTAGAAAACAGAATTATCCAAGGAATCCTTTGCCGTCATCTATAGGTAGTCCTTCCAGTTCTGTGATATGTTTGGCCATGCATGTCAAAACTCAGTAAGAAAACAAAGCCCAAATGGTTTTTTGGTGTTTTGAGGTTTTTTTTATATACATATAACTGGTATTGAAAGTTTTTGTCGTTTAAGAAAGCCAGTTGTTTAGTGTGTAAGCTAAAGGCAGTTCTAATGCCTTGTTTCCCTGATATGTGAGATGAGTGGACCATTAATTTTACATGTAAAAATTATGTGATTAAAAGACCTAGCAAAGGTGTTACCAAGGAACCTTTTGGGAGTGCCTTTTTTTTTTTTTTTTCCTCAAGATGGGCATCAAAAAAATGGAGCAAAACACTTCTCTTTGTGCCCTTCAATCTGTGAAAAATATTTGTAATACTATACAAATAACCATACATATTCCTGTGCCACCAATAGCATGTGAAAGTGTACATATTTTGATTACCAAGAATTGGAAATAAAAATACCAGGAGTCTATACTAGGAAGCAGAAGTATTTTGATATTGCTTCAGTTTTTATGGTAACTAGACTTTGCATGCAATTAAAAGATCTATTTCCTAGTTCTAGGGCTTCCCTTAGTTAATGGCTATACACTTATTGATTCATCTGTTTTAATCATTAAATCTATTATGTTTTTGTTTTGTGTAAGAGTTCTTTGTTATTTTGGTATAAAATCTATCCTGTCAAATATATTACTGAATTTATAAGCTAGCATCTCATGTAAAGGAAATAGCTCTCAGTCTACCTATGACTAGATACCTTTTTTGGGATAGTTCAGTTAAGGCTACATCTAAGTTCTTTAACTTCTGAATATGGAATTTCAAGTGAGCAGACTCTTAATTTGAACTTCCTGACAGTTTGAGCAAATAACTTCCCTTCTTCCTATGCTCTACACATTCTAAAATTCACCTCCAAACTTTATCTTCCCATCTCTAGAAAATGCATATGCAAATTAAGTGTGCATAGAACAAACACCAATTTTTGTGCACTCCCTTATTCAAATAATACAGTTAACATTTGAAAAACAGTTTGTAGTTCAATGAAAAATATAAAACAATAAATTGTGTGTGATTCTTCATTAAAATTATCCTGCCCTGAATCTCCCCAGTTTCTTAAATGCCAGTGGTTCCCACTCTAGGGTCTCAGTTTACATACAGTGAGATTCATGACCTGTCCTTGATATTTTTAAAAACCTAGCTCAAAAGTGTTTTTACTGCATGCACACTAGAACACATTTCTTTGTTTTTTTGTTGGAGTTAGATCTTTTACTTTATGGATAGTTTAGCAGAAACTGACTTGATGTAATATTCATTTGGAATGATGGTCATGAGATATTCCTGTGAAAGTAATTTTTAGCATCCTTATGTTAATCTGGAGGGACAAGTCACTAGCAGTGAAAACACTTGACTATGGATGCCTCAAGAGGAATGAACAAGTTTAATCTTAGAGATTATACTTAAGATGTTACCAAGGAAGGTCTGAATTTGGAGAGTTGAAAAGAGCTGGTAGTAGAGTGAACTGCTTGCTTGGTGACAGGAATGTGGCAGGAGTGATGACCCCTTAAACAAGTGTAGGTAAAAAGAGGTTGCCCTGCTAAACAGAACTATTTAAATTCTGTGGTAATTCCTCCCTTGTATTTAAGAAGGTGTGAGACAGTGAAAAGGGCGCATGTGAAGTGTACAGTGCTGAATGTTCACAAAACCCTTTATGGCATACCCGGCTAAAAGGTTACTGGTGCAAACACTACACACCACACATACCTTGTGCCTCTACTTTAACTCTAGGAAGTGTGGAAATAGACAGGAAGGGAGAGATTGACTGTTCATCTTTCTTAGATCTCTGCCTGCAAATAATGTTTCAAAGACCTGGGTTTCCCATGTAAATCTCCAGAGGCTCTTCAAGTAGCACAGAGTGACAGCATCTTCAGGTAAGGCAGGGGGTGAGAAAAGGCAATGGATTTGAAGAGAACATAAGATTTGACTGCCAGTTAGATGTGGAAAGTGAGCAGGGATGATTCAAAATTTTGTCTGGGCGGCTGGTACTATTATTTCACTGAGATAGTAGGAGTGAGGGGTGTTGCAGCTAGTGTGGAGAGAGGCTATTACTAATTTTTGCACATGAACTGGTCTGGGACAGTAGAGATGTGGATATGCTGCACAGAAAATAAAACGAAATTTTATTCCTTTCATCTCTGGCCCTTTTGTGGTGATGGGTGGGGATGAGTTGACTGGTTTCTTTTAAATTAAAGCCATCTCTAGACCCATGATGTATGAGAAATTGGAAAAAGGACAGATATATTTACTGTACAACTGGGACAGGTTGAGCTAGATACATTTTTTAAATAATTACTAGGTGCTATGTTAACACTCTGATAGTTACATAGTTGAACTTGGGGAAGTGGATAGTTGGTCATTTATTCCATAGAATAAAGGCCAGAGATAAAAATTAATTTTTCCAAACTGAGTTTTGATAAGCATTTTGCACAAAGAAAGCATAGCAATTAGCTTTGCTTGTGCTATTTCTTGCCTCCAAGCACTGTTCTCAAAAATAAGGTCTCATGTCAGTCCAGTGGCCCTCACATGATAGCCATGGAACAGAGAAGTGCACTCGGACTTTGACCTGTCATTTCCCCCAAGGCAAAACTGGGGCAGGATGAGAAATGTTGGAAGGGCTTTCAGAAAGATGCCTTGACTTGGAAATCTTAAGGCAGGATGGAATTCTCTGACTTCTGAGACATTGGGCATTAGCCTTGTCCCACTTCTGAACTGCCAGAAGAATTTGCTTTTAGAAACCACTGTTTCATTGTGCCGCCATCTTCAAAGAGCTGAGTGTGTGTGTACAGATAAGCCTTTAGGAGAACTGGACATGGAAGAATTTTGAATTTCCATTTGTCTCAGTGCTAGCATCTTGCAATAAAATAGAAATCTTTTTAGGGTAGTAAATGGCTTTGCTACAGGAGGGTTTTTGTTGATTTCCTCAATTTAAAGATATCTGCTCGCCCACCTACACCAACAGAGTGACCTGGCCCTATGTCAAGTTGCTGTTCTACCCACTTAGTTGGCTTCTCTCATTCTTCTAAATTCTAAAATGTAAATTTTCAGCTGCTCAAACATTATTCACGGTTCCTTATATTCATTACTTCAGGGCATTACTTTCCCTGATATCCCTATCCAGACTCCCCCTTCTCCACTCTGCCACTCACTTTGGCTCATCTAATTCCCCTCAGTTTCTTCAACATCTATTATCTGTGCTCTAGTTAGGAAACAGACCATTCATCTTGATTCCCATTTCAGTGCCTTCATCATTATTTAAGAGCCAAATGCAGGGAACTATACCTAGCTTGTGTTCATCAATGACAATGGCCCTGTCCCCAAAATACTATTAATCTCACAACAGCCCTGAAACTGAGACTTGGAGAGACCAAGTATGTTTCCCAAGATCATGTCACAAGCAATAAAATAGCCTGTAACCCATTTGCCTGCCTGTAAAGCACTCCTTCCTTTTTTATCTCAGCACCACTATGATTGAGCTCATCATTAGGTGCTATTTTGTTCCCTAACTGAATTCTTGTCTTTCTCATCTCAATGGTATGGAACCATACAGTACAGTTACTAGCCGGCAGGAGGTGCTGAAGGAACACTTTCTGGCTGTTTTTATGTGTGGTTAGTAGATCCATGTCCAGTACTGAGTATTAGAGATCATTTCAGGGGCTTGGTGCAGAGTTACAACTAGAAAGCCATGTGTACAGTATTTTAGTGGAATAGGAGCTGTGTTGGGTTGCGTGGAACACTGCTATTACTCCTGTCTTAATTCATGCTCTCTAGAAATGCTTACGGGGTTGGCGGTGTCACCTGAGTCTTCCATGGTCACAACTCTCAGTGGCATCTAAATTTCCTGCTTAATTAAGCTTCATTGTCTTCTATAGCATATAAATGCTAGAACTACCCTCAAACTGAAACTTCTGTTAATTACTTTCAGTGCCAACTAGTACCAGGCTTTATTTTTGGCAGGTGTTCAATAACTGAAAAATCAATTTGACTGTATAACATGCTAGGAAGTCACTAATGTATTCACTCAGTGATAAAATAGAGAATGGAAATTGAAGGTTGTAACCTAACACTTGTCTTCTAATACTTCAAGTGGAGAAAATTATTAGGGTTGAAATTCCTGTGCTTTTAGTTGGAAAATATATCAGTGATAGCCAAGAAAAATGATACAAACCCTTACCACTGAAATATATAATTCAGCCTTGAACAAAAGATAAGTAACTCAGCCTTGGTTTTAAATGCATACTTGCAAATGAGTATCTAAAGGCTTCTGTACAAGATAGTGATGCTCAAAAAGCTCTAATAAACATTTTCTGGCAGAAGAGCTTTGTCACACCACGTGTTACCAGCTTTTAGAACAGTTTGGCCATGGTAGGAGCCCACATCCTTGCTGAATGAAAGCAGTAAGAAAAGCAGAGATCGCAGACACTGCTCTTCTGCTCTTACCTTACTCTCTCACTATGACTCTGTCAGAGAAGATACCCGATTCGAACCCTTCAGGTGTCCCCTAAATCTCTGAATTTGTAACTTTCAAGATCTTGGCTTGGCTTTATGTCCTATATGACAGCTTTAAATTAATTGTATGAATATAATTGTGTCTAGGAAAAGTAACACAAATATATGAAAATAAATATTCAAACGCCATAGAGGCACATAAGAAAAATTCCTTCCAACCCACTCTCTGGTCTTTCTTCTCAGAAGAAGCCTCTTTGTACTAATTCCATTTTATTCCTCTAAAGACTGTGCTTATGCTGCTATTATATAATTTACTGTAAGCAATGTCTTGGAGGTCTTCAAGACAAGTAATTTAGTTTACTTTCTTCTGTAGTTTAAGTATAGATATGCATGCTTCAATAATTTATATCCATTTCCATTATTACTAAAGCAGTATTTCTTAATAAATTTGATTTAGAATACTGACTTCCTGAGGGGCGTGCTAGTGTGCTCCCTTTGATTTCTGCACTTCACCTCCTCCTTGAACTTCCCAACTTCTGTCATTTACATCATTATTTTGTCATCAAAATTAGTGACTTTTACATAGTCCAAAATTAGAAGGTTTAAATTGTCTTTTGTAACTATGGTTGTCCTTAATGCATTCTTATACACTAATTCTGAAAATTAAAACCCAGTGAAATATAATTATGTGAACAGTACTTACCACAGAAGTAGGAAGCAGGCTTGGAAATTTAGCGGATATGTTTCTAAACCTTGAAGACACTCATGCCTTTTGAAGAGCAGGCTCCAAGCATCGAAGTCACATTGACTTTCTTAGTACACTCCATTTATCACTTGAAATCATTTCATGTTTTAGCTTGTTTCCTATTGTGTGTGGCTGGCTTTCAAGTTCTCCAGCGTGAAATCTAGATTGGTTGCTCTCTAATGTGGCTGCACATGGATATCATCAAGGGAGATTTAAGAGACCCTGATATTTAGAGGACCCCACAAATAAAGTTTCTCATCAAATTGGACTGGAGTGTGGCTGAGCATATGGGTACCTTTGCTTGTTTCTGGCAGGTGTTTCCAATGAGTAGTCAAAGTTGAGAAGAACCTGACCATTAATCTCAGTCATACTGAATAGACTCAAAGATGAAACAGGCTGAGCCCTTTCAAAGCAAAAGCATAAAAATACCAGCCAATACCCACTAAAGTTTCATAGACTCTTTTATTTCTGTTTTGATGGCAGTTGTCTCTCTTTTAACCTACCACTGCTAAATTGGTTGAAAAGATGCATTCTCTGCACTCAATCTAAGGTGTTTCATTCGATGGTTATACTTTGGTGGAGAGATTATTTTGTTTATAAATAAAGTCTTACTTTCTGTGGATACTCTGGGGCATGGAGAGCTGAAGTGTTGCAAGGAAATCATTGTGTGGAATTTCATCATATCCTTGATATTCAGACTGTTGTTTCAATGACTGATTTTTCCCCTTGTGTCTAAGAATTTAACATTGTATTTCCAGTAGTTATATATACTACTTTACATATATACAAAATTACTTGTATATAATTTTGTCTGATTCTCAGGGTCAGTCAAAAGGTTGTTCCTTTTTAGCCCTCCGATTAGGCACCTACAAGGACTCAAGCCAGGTGGTCATCCTCAGGTTCTAGTAGGTATAGGAGGCCTGGAAGAGTGACTGGGTGGAGGCAGAACCGGATGAGGCTGAGTGAATGTACTGTCCTTTGGCTGCCTGGCTGTTAGCCTAAAAAATACAAGTGTGCAGAGAAGACCGTGTTAGAGCAAACGCAACCCTGTCTCCCCTCTCTGCTTCTCATTTGAAACCAGCTACACCTTCCCCCTTCACTTGGTTTTGCCCCCCCCCCCCGTGTATTAATTTTGCTGCTGATGCTGTGTCTCTCTTCTATCATCGTATAAAATTATAATTGGTATCTCTGTTAACATCTCAATTTTCTGAGCTGTCCCTAGTAAGCCTGAGATTTGGGTCAGTTGTTGGGAAAGTTTCTTTTGCATATGAACAATATTGCAACAATGGTACTATAAATTAAAGTTGAGAAATTACTTATTCACTTAGTGATAAGGAAATAGAGTTGTGAATCATAACAAAAAGGAAGCTTGGAATAGCTGTTGACTTGTCTCCTAGGAAATTGGTCACATGATTATGGCTACATAACAGGTGAGGGGCGGGGGCGGGGGAATAGCTTATTTTCAAAAATTTTAAATTTCTACCTCTATTTGTCAACAAAATGTGCAATTTTTGTGTAGTTGTTATCATAATATCTTTAGAATAAATCAGGAATTATGAAACCTGTAACAATATTTGAATGTCACTAACCGTAATACATATTCGATCACTTTTGCTGTCATCTCTTCTCTCCAGGACTAGTTTCTACATCCACAGTGATTTTCAAAATGGGTTTCATGATCTTACGCAGTTCTTAAACATGGAAACTCTCTAACTTGACCCCAGACCGACAAATTGGCAACTCGATGTCTATGACCCTTTTAGGTTAACTGGATGAAATCTCAAGCTTGAGAACCACCATCCTAGATAATAAACTCATCTTTCCTTTTTCTATGCACATGGCACTTCTGATTCTTCCCTTTACAATTCCTACATCACATCAACTACATCTCCCCACCTCATCGGCCACACGCCAGCCTAGAAATACCCAGTTCTGCATCATCTCAAGACAAAGCACTATCTCTAACATTGCACACCTCTCTTATAGACTCGGATGTTTCCTTAGCTTCTCTGGGAACTTCCTTTCCATAAGTGCCTCATCATTACTCTTCTGGCTACACTTGATTCTTTGCTGAGGCTTCTCTGTGATCAGCAAAATGAATGAGGTTATCCCTCAACTTTTGACTCTTCCATTTCACAATTAAACTTTTAGTTGTCTACCCTGCCATTTCCCCCTTTAGGTTTGTCTGAATCTTCCTGCACGTGTAGAAGATCTGTTAGGGAGATGTGGTGACTAAGCTGATGTACCACAAAGTCACTCACCCTGGAGTGCCTTATGTTTGGCCATAAGGTCTGGTCATTTCCTAGGAGACAAGTCAGCAGCTGCTCCAAGCTTCCCCCTTGTTAAGATTGAAATCTCCATTCCCTGATTGCTCTCACCAGATGCTCTCAGGTGTACCAACTGTTAAGTCTCTTCATTTATTGTACTGACTTAATTCTAAACCCATTATTTTCTTTGCAGTCTCTGTTCCTCCTTCCTAAAACTTATATTTAGCATCTAGTCTCATGCAATTCTGTTTCCTCTAAGTCCTTTTCCTTTCTCAGTTATGCCCATCCTCCTACTAAACTTCGGTGTCTCCTCTAACTTCTTTTGCTTGACATTCAAGCATGTCAGGTTCTCATCTATTTGACTAAACTCTGAATTCTTTGAAGGCAGTCTCTGTGCTGGCTTCCATTCACCCTGATCCTTGGCTCAAAGTAGATATTTAAAAAGGAGTGATTACTCATTGCATTAAATTCTCTCTTCCCTCATTCCTCCTGGTGACCCTGCTGGCCGTTTTCCTGAACTTTCCTCAAACGGGAGTCTTCTTTATTGAAATTGTTTTGTTGAGGATCACTGACATGCTTCTAAAGGTTGATCTCAGTGCCTTTCTCAGCCTTTATTTTAAATCTCTCTGTACTGTGTTAGTGACCCCTTGAAACATTGTTTTTGGTTGCCCCTGGTTCATCCTGTCATTTTATTATTTCTTATGTGAGTTGCTTCTCCTCTTCATCTTCCCAAAATGAAAGGTAACCCCAGTTCATTCCTTGACCCTCTTATCTTCCTTCCAAACGATCTCTGTTGAAATGTCCTTCAATCTGCTGTACTGTACAATCAACTATATAATTGACTCTACTCCCCGTATAGACAATTCAATACCATCTCTAGCTCCAACCTTTCTCTTGAGCTCTAACACCCCATTTTCAAATACCCAGTGCAGACTCCCTGAAGATAGCTCATAGCTTGAAGAAAGCAACACTTCTCTGTGAGAGAGACATGCCCTAAGTTTTCACTTGTTCAAATGGAGACGAGCTGGCACATCTTACCAGGGCCCGCTTCATAAAGGCCTCCTGGGTTGCCTTCTTGTTTGCAGCCTTTCCACCCCAGGCCGCCAGCGCACTGGCCTGCAGGGCCCGGCCATAGGAGAAACTCAGTTTCCAAGGCCGTGGCAGAGGGCAAAGGTTGATAGCGTTGAGGTTGAGGGTAGCATCCTCTTCACTCATACCACCAGACAGAAAGCAGATGCCTGGGAGGAGAGAAGCCATCCCATTCTTTTTAGTTCCAGCTCACAAACCTTGCTTGGGAATGCAAGCAGTGGCTGGAGAGATAAGCCATGCCGCAGTCATTTCTCTGCTTGATTTGTATGAGACTGGGGAAAAGAAACCACTTTGTCTTTGCTGAGAAATGTGCTTTCCTAAGTAGGGGAGGCAGTGAAATGTTGAGGAAATCAATGGACTATGTATTTGGACGACTCAGGAGACAGAGGAGCGAGGCGTGTAGGCAAAGTGCTGGCTGCCCGTGAGATAGCACAGGTCTGCGTCATGGGGAGAAACAGACGCTAGACACGCACAAAAGCCCGTGGAACTCCTTCAAGGGATAAGGGCTAAGACCTCAAGTTAGAGGGGGAGGAAGTCTTACCTGGGACAGCTGCAGGAACAGTTCGATGGAGCGCTGTGACTGTGGCCATGGCCACCTGCTCTGGGGTGTACTTCTTAGTGCAGGCATGGCCAGCAGTCACCATGTTGGGCTTCAGCAGGGTGCCCTCCAGGAAAACATGATAGTCATTCAGGGCCTTGTAGACGGCAGCGAGGACCTGAGGGATAAGAGATCCAAACAGGTGTAACTGAAAGTCAGCCTAGGGGGCAACTGATGCTGGTGCCCTTCCACTGCAGGGATGCAGGCGGAGGAGAGCCCAGGTGCTGCTTAGCCATGGCTTCCCAACCAGCCCCCAGGCTTGATCAGAGCCATGCATTATAAATCTTAGCCATTGACACAGACACGCTAGCCCATCCCCACCACCCTACTCTATCTGCTCACCACCACCCTATCTGCTTGGATTATTGGCATGCTTCTGCTTCCCAGAAGCCTTCACTCTTTCCTCCCCATTATGCCCTTAGTCAATTAGTGCATTGAGACTGCCCTGATTTAATTAGTTGGAACTATCTAAACTAACCTCCATTCTCCATCCCTAGAGAAGCTGAGTAGTCATAAGAGCATACATTTTAGAGACAGAAATGTTTTTCATCTCATTTTTCAAGTGAAGCAACTGAGGTTAGGTTACATTATGACTCTTGGTTTCTTAAAGCTATACTGTGGAATTTATAAAGTCAAATATGAAAAAGCACTTTGTAATTCTATTTTCTCTGGTAAGCCTCTTCATATTTAAAACATCTTCAGTTTATACATAATGGAAGTGAGATCCATAAAGATAATATGATTTTTTGAGCAAATTTTTATTTATTTTGGCTGCCAGGAACATCCCATTCACAGGATATAGAAACAACTGATTTGTAACTGCCAGCTATTCTCCACTGGGCCTGGCATGTGGAAAGAACACAGTTCCCAGACCCACTACTCTTAACCCCATGATCCCACACAACTCACTCACACTTTCTGCATCTTGGCTTCCACACATAAAGATAATATGACTAATGAAATGTCCCTACTGGGAACATACATTCTTAAACCTAAAGCTGGATACTGCAAATCCTGGGTTTTTTCATGGTGCCAAGTAACTGGAAGGTTTGGTAAGCATCTTCTTACTTTCTCAAGGCTACATAATGAGTCCAACTGAAGAATATTTCCTTTTTGACAGCTGTTATGTATTGTGACAGCTGTTACTTAAAAGCAAAATTTCTAACTGGAAATGGGATCTTTATGGCCAAGTCTTACCTTCTCAGTAACATACTGGCAGTGTTCCAAGTCATGGTCCCCATCAGGAATTACCTCTGGTTCAACAATGGGCACCAGTCCATTCTAAAGAGGGAAACAAAGGGAACCAATTAAAGCTCTGCTCGTGGGGATAGTCAGCAGTTGCAACTGGTATAAAATGAAGCCATTTTGGAGAAATACTCCACAGAGGAAATTTAAAAGCAGTGAAAAGAAATCTGATGGGATGTCTAGTGAGCATTTTAGCTTAGCCAGATAAAAGTACTAGGGCTTAAATAGTGTTTTCCTGGAGGGTGTTTAAAAAAAAAAAGCAAACTTTTAATATCTGTATCTTATTCTAGAGACTCCCAGATAACCTAGCTATCTCTCTTTTATGGCAACCAACTAAAATGGTTAATAAAGATGCTTGTTGTATAGGTTAATTGAAGAGTTCAAGCAGTTTTCTGTTCTAATTAAGAATCTCCCAGTGCCCACATTCAGGTCACCCCAACATAGCACCCATATAGGCAAATTAGACATAGTGTGGATCCCACACACACTTTAACATAAGTTGGGCAACTTTATCAAGTCACCATCCTCGAAGTAATATGGATTCATACTAAATCAATGCCACCCGCCTTGGGCTAGGACCCATGGGGTCAGATGTGGGATACGGTGGAGCTTAGAGAAGCAGGTGCCCTGGTTTCATGAACACCCATAGAAGCAGATCACCTGTTGACAGATGCTGGCATAGCGGGCCAGGGCTTTGGCATTTTCCTGGATGGCAAGAGCAGACGGGCACTGGTCTGCAATCCTCAGAACAGCACGCCACTTTCCGAAGTCTGCGCCGTCTTTCTTATACTGAGCACAGCGCTCAGAAAGCCCATCAAGCCCTGCAAGTCACAGAAGAGAGAAAGACTTTCTATACACCCTAATCCCTGATCCATGAGGCCTCTGATAAAGAGGCATTGGTCTGCCTTGTCTTAGTTTTCAGTTGGCAGGGCTTGAAAACTGAAAACATCCCAGCATATTAACCTTAATCAGAGCATTGAAATTTAGTCAATATTTTGGTTTGAGTGGTACATGTTGGGGACTCCATAAGAAGAGGATGGGGAACTACTGATAAAATTTGTTGGGTACTTGCTCTGTTCCAGGCATGACTCTAGGCACAGCTTCGTTCATTGAATTATCATCACAACCCCAGCAGTTCACTCTGTACTCATTTTAAAGACATGGAAACTGAGACTGCCTAGAGGTCAGAGACTTTACCAAGTTTTCGATGCTAAAGAGTAACAACTGGGATTCAGACTCTGCTTAGCCAATTCCATGCTTGAGTAATGCTTATCAACTTGGGAGGTGAAATATCCTGTAAAGCTATCTAAATTGTGAATGGTGGAATCAAGATTCACTCCCTGTGTAGGTCTGATCCCAAAGTTTGAGACTTTTCTGACTACTGCTGCTGGATTTTTCTTGAAAAGTAACACAGGTACAGAGAATCTTCTCTGTGCAAGTCACTGTGGTAGTATTCCATGTACATTGTCTGCTTTAATCCCCACACTATGTATGATCATCCCATTTCATTTGCGACCCACACACTAACGTGACACCGTCATTAAACAGGAAATGAAAACCACCATGGCTGCACAACCAGTGTGACACCTGTGTTTTGCTCTCCCTTGCTCATTTCTTTCCTTGCCTTCATTCCTAATCTATGCTGGCATGTATACCAATGTATACTAGTCTTACATGGATCAGATCAGTGGGCAATATCCTTACCTTGAATGGTACTTTCTTTGTTTGTTCCTGCAAGGGGAGCAGCTCCTTGGTCTAACTGTGAATATAAATAATAAGTGGTGAGCAAATATCAGGCATCCTAGTAAAACACAAGTTTCTATTATTCACAAGCCAAGGAGTTGAATCGGCAGGTCATTGGAGGGGGTGGGGCACAGTTCAGCCCAGAGTAGAAGGGAAGTTATCTGGAAAGAACAATGGAAGAGTGTCAACTGAAAGAGGGGGCAAAAAATGGAAAACACAGGTCTACTGGTGAGTGACAAGCCCCTCCTCTCCCCAGCTAACTGAGATCCCTCCCCTCATTCTTTCATTTATTCAAAAGAAATGTATTGAATACCAGCACATACCAGGCACCTCATCATTTACAGGGTAGAGGGGGAAAACGGGGGCAGCCTCTACCCTCTGCAGAACAGACAGTAAGGTCATGAGCACAAGAGGTGGACACTCTAGGTTTGAACGGGCACCAAGCTTTCTCTGCTGTGGAAAGTTATGTTACCCTTCATAATTCCATTTTCTCAACTCATCTCAAAGTAAGGATAATAGTCGAATCTACTGTCAGAAATTGTAGGGAGGATTAAATGAAGGCTTGGAGTTTTAAACACAGTATTAGTGTCCACTTTTGAAAAGTTGTAGTATTAGATCTAGTAAAAGTGTTGATAATGGCTGTCATTAAGTAATAATTCTATGACAGGAATTGTTTTCACAGCTTACCTCATCCTAAGAACCTTATTATGTATTATCCCCACTCTAAAAATGTGGAAATTTAGACACAAAGAGGTTAAATAGTACCTTGTAGAAAACTTGGTTGAGGGCCCTCTCTGGTGGCCCAACAGGTTAAAGCACAGCACTGTGACGTTGTCCACAGCCACTGCAGCACAAGTTCCATCCCCACCCTGGCCAGGAAGGAGACCCTTCTGTCTTACCTACTGCTCCCCTCAGCAGTGTATTTCTATCGATTTGCCTTTTCTGCGCCCCACTCTATCTCTGGTGAAGCCTCTCCCTCTCACACATGTAACTCCGGCTTGTACCCCAGTTCTTGTATGCATAATAAGTAAATCTTTTGAAAAAAGAAAACTTGGTTGAAAGAAGGGCACCGGAAGGAAAGTCTGAAGAGGATCTGCTTCTCAGTGGGAGGATGATGGAAAGGAACGAACACAGAAATTAAGTGTGCAGCATATTCAGGTGTGGGCCTTGTGGGATCCTGGTCCTGGTGAGGTGGCAGTGAGGTGGGGACAGAAGCATCACCTTGATTCCCACCACGATCCCCTTTTCCTTGAGGATGTTCCTGAATAGCTTTCCCTGGCCGTCTTTCTGGTAGAGGGTCTCATGGAAAAGGATCACACCCCCGATGCTCTGGTTCATGGAGTTGTCAGAGGTGAAGAGCATTTCTCGGAACTGCCTGCGGTTCTCCTCTGTGTTCTCCACCTTGATCCTCTGCAGGCGGTTTCCCATGGTGCCTAAGAGGGGCAGGACCAAGTAGCAGCGTAAGGAGCAGGCAGAGTTCTCCTCCTCCCTCCTCCTCCCTGCCTCAGTGTCCCTCCCAGGGCAGACAGCAAGGCTGTTGGTTAACTAGATCTCAAGCTCCTGCCATTTTTTTTCTTTGAGGGTTAGGGAGGGCACTGATGGAGGGTGTTGAGCCTTCCTGTGGGAGACTTGGGTGCTGTTAGAAGGTGTTCGAGCAACTATTGAGTCCAGGTGACTATGCCAGGCCCTAGCCCAGCACAGTTCTCCCCTGACTGGACACACATAGAATGGAAGGAGAAACTGGGGTAGGCTTGGATGTTTCCGCCACTGCACTTGTATGGCAGACTGTGCATGCCAGTCATAGCTCGCCCTTGCGCATCCAGGGCTCCTCTCTGCCACAAGTCCGACCCTGGTCAGATGCAGAAACGTCTCTGCCTGCCTTGGCTGACAGGAAAATGACTTCTCATTAGCAGCAGGGGGGCTCCATGTCTGACCTCATTCCTGAGTTCCTGGCCTTGCTAGAGCCTGGATTTAAATGAACAATAGCAAGAAGCCATAATGGACATCTTGAGTCTCTTCCCTTGGTTTTCAGAAACCTGTCTGCTGGAACTACAGGATATGAAAGGCCTCTGCTCACTGAGCTTTCTGCTCCCACTCTTGTGTACATAAGGCTTTGCTTCCTGTGAGGGGAAAGAATGTGGTTATCAAGTGGCTTTGGTACATGTAGAGACAGGAATGCGCTTGCTAGAGATGTTTCTGGCACTCACCCACAGACTCATCTGCGGCCAGGATCCCCTTCCCATTGGCAACAATGCGCTGGGCAATTTCTGAGAGCTCCTTCTTCTGCTCTGGGGTGAGAGCTGGAAATCGGTGAGCCATGGTGGTAGGTCTAGAAAAAAGTGTAGCAGTGCCTGAACAGAACCGCGAATGACTCAGATGGATTCGTGGCCAGGATAACTGGGTAGGGTCCACAGAGTAGCCCTGGAGGTCACTTCCACATTTCTGGATATTTCCACAACTACGAAAACAGGTCTCGTTTATTCAACTTTAATCTTAGGATTTGCTGTTAGCCATGATGGATGAAGGTGGGATGTCAAAATTCTCCTGCCTTACAGAACGTTAGAATCACTGATCTTGAGACTGAACAAGTTAGTGGCCAATTAGAATTTGACAAATAGAAGCCCAGCCCAGGCAGTGACCATCTCCTAGTATGTTGACTCATTGTGCATTGAGTGCCCTGGACAGCTTGAATCCAGCACAGTGAGGCTTTTGACCTCTGTGCTCATCCCTCATTTTTTTCTGTTAGCTTATAATCCCACCAGATTGTTCTTTAGAGGGCAAGACTAAGAAGGGAAAACATCATTTGGCCTTAATTTGATCTCCTGTCACCTTTGAGTTATAGGATGTGGAGTACAAGATTTTTATCCTTATACTCAGTCATCTATGAGATCATCTGGGGCAGATGGGGGGCATTTTCCCTAAGTGCCTTGGACTGGAGGTTTCCATGGGTTCTTAGGATGCTGAAGTCATATGGCCATCACAGCTCAAGTAATTCTCAGTTTTACTTCTTTAGCAAAGAGATACTCTGACTGAAGGATCCTCCACCCGAGCAACCTCCTCCCCACTGGTCCTCTGAAGGTGGCTCCAACATTGGGATAGTCTTGAAAATACATGACCGCTACTAAGAGGACCAATGTGAACATCATGCTCAGGGTAATTGCTCAAAGTATATATTTACTGAATTGTAGGAGAAACATGAAGATGCTTTTTAAAGTGCTATGAAAATGTCAGGTATGGCTATTTCTAAGAAAAAAATTTCCTACGGGACTTCCGTGTTTTCTATTTGCTACTGATTTCTTTAGTCTGGTGTGCTGACTCAAACAGAAAAACAGAAAAGGTCAAATTGAACCAATATGTTTATAAGTAAGTTAAACTTCTACAGCGGGATTAAAGGTCTGTCCCACATCAGCACAAATTTTGCCCCTCTGTTAATCATAAAACAGGGTCACAGGCCGGTGTTCAGCACCGGGAGACAGGAGGCCAGCAAGAATGGGTAATGATAGGGAGTAATTTCTGTGCCCCTAAGCCTCGTCCCACCAAGTTCTCAAGTGAATTATTATTTTTAGAAGTGTGATGGGAAGTTGTTCACATTATATAGTCAAATGGAAAAAAAGCAAGTTTCCTAGAAGTATGCATTCTTAAATCAAAATATAGTAAATACATATATGATCTGTGTGTCCATAAACAGAATAACCACATGGGTTATTGTAGGGAAGGGATGGGTGCAGTGATGTTCATGTCTCATTTAATGGATTTCTTACAATGTTTGATTTCTTAATCAACAGGTTTATATATAATATAAACTATGAAGTCACATCCTGCAGACTTATGACTTGGGATCCTATTTCCAGCACCCTACTGGAAGAGGTTCTGTAGAAAGATAATAATTTGTAAAATATGAATAACTCCTGGAGAAATACAAAGCAGTAAAGATTCCATTTGCATCTCCCTGTCTCAGACAGATGAATTTTCAAATAGATAAAATGAGGGGCTTATTCACTGTGTGCAGGACTTTTACCTCTGAAGGGGTGGAATGCCCACAGCTCCATACCCTCCCAATGCCACAGAGACATGTGCAGTGAGATGCTTTACGACAGCCTGGCCCCTGGTGCCTTTGAACAAACGTGTAGCTCAGAAAGAGCTTCAAGTACTTTCCTCTCACCGGACACCTAAGTCAGGAATTCCAGCAACTGTCCTCCCTCCCTTGCCAGCTGTTCCCGCTCTAGTGTGGGTCCGGGTATCCCCAGATATGCCCGCGTGTCCCTGGATATGCCCGGATGTCTCTGGATATGCCCGGGCTAAAGTGATCATACATACAACTCAAACCTATCCTGGATCCTAACTGGCTAATGGAGCCCTAGGTAACTATTTAAAGAGAAGTTTGTTTCTATAGGCAAAATGATCTCACACCATGCCTATTTTTCAAATAGTAGAACAAAGATAGCAAAATACATCCACAGCTTTTGACCTTTAATACCTCAAGCTTTGAGTTATGAAAGAGTTTGGTGCAGTGGGAAATATTTCAGAAAATATCAAACAAGTTTGACAATTCATCATCAGACGCCAACTATGCATGGGACGTTGACGTTTCCCAGTCTGTTCTTTTCTCTCATTTGAGCAGTGGATGAAGGCAAGGGCAAAACAAAGCACACCAAGAGTTTATTTCTGTGACAAAGAAACTTCAGTGTTAATACTAGAAAGTGTGGGCAGAGAATGAGGAAAATGACAGAGAATACAGATATGGAAATAAGCATTGTTATTGGGGGGAATAGACTATGCAGGAATCTGAAAAACTGAACCTAAGCACATAGGAGTCAGATGTCTTTCCCAGGCCAGAGACTCAGCAGAGCCCTCAGACAGGAATCACTGGGCGCTGGCATTAAGCTAGAGCATTTAGCCACCACTAATGGCAAAAGGGGCACATGAGCATTGACGCTAGGAGAAACTATCATTTTGGTAGATGCTCCCTTTCTCAACCACCATCAAGTTTGTTGTGAAAACAAAAGCAAAATTGAATGTTCCCCTCTACTGCCATCATTAATCCCTTATTTAGAGCCCTCATTAACCCCTTCCTCCCTAGTGTAGGCCATGAGACAGAAATTCATTTACTTACCGTTTGGAAGAAGAGAGTTTTCTTAAGTATTAGAAGCAGTAGGTGAGGCAGCAACTGCCAAATAGGACGAATCTTTGGAAACAGACAGTTTTTATAGGCTTCTTATCAAAGTTTTTTTTTTTTTTTAAGCCTTCCCCTCCCCTTCTCACCTTGGCCGGTAGGGAGTGTTTATGCAATACCCCTGATTGGCTCATAAACAGCCAATCTTCCTAATCAAGCTCACACACACTTTGTACTCCCACAACATGAAGGCTCAAGGGATGTCTGAGGCCACAGAGCTCCTGATCCACACTGTTTCACAGGTAAGGAAGTTGAAGCACAGAGGATGAAGGGATGCCCCTAAGTCACACAGCTCAGGGATGACTGAGTTCCCCTCCTTCCCCCCAGTTCTCCCAGGAAGACTGTTGGCTTAGCTCCAGCACTGACTAAACAAATGACCTTGGTTAAGGTTTTTTTTCCAGTTCTCTGAGCTTTATTTTCTTCCTCTGTAAAGTAGAACCTCAACTTTATATTTTTGTCTTCAAACTTGGAAAAAACTAGTATCAAACTCAAAGTGATTGGTCCAAGCCATCAGCAGCCTTAGATGTGTGTCTGGGTTTATTCTACAGAATTTTTTCCAGAGCATTCAATCAAAATCTAATACCAATAAAATGTTGTATGTGTCCTGAGACTGATAAAGGTTAAGGGAAAATATAAAAATAATGGAATAACTATGATAGACAGCTATAAATTCTTAGGAACATATTGATCATAAAAGGTGGGGGGTGCAGGACAAAGCCCAGTGTAGCGTGTAATACTAGAGTTGATGATGAAAAAGTAGTGTCTTTTTTAAATGAAGGATAAAGAAGCAGAGAGCTAGGCTGTCTAAAGAGAATGGAGGAAGAGGATGTGGACAGTGAGGAGATAATGGAGAGTGGAGTTAGTAACATTGTTGGGGTTCAGGGCTGTGCTTAAAACTTCCCACCTGCTGAGATTTGTATGGTAGAAATAAGTTTACTTAGTCTACTAATACTTGTTATTCTTGTAACAGTGACAGTGATTATTTTTTGACGTTCTGTGATGCACTGGTTCTTTTCATATGTGATATCCAATCTCAGATCTCTGTGTCAAAAGATTTCTAACCCTATTTTCTGGATAAGGAAACTGGTTCAGAGAGAGCAATAACTTGCTTAGTCCTAGGCATATCCACAGAGAGTCCGTCTTGCAGCAAGAACGCTGTCTAAGCAGAGCTGCTTATATTTTGGTTATCACAGACCACATAGATTAGCTTTTTCCTCTTCCCCTCCCAGCAGTTTATAACCATGGGCATTAAACCTGCATTAATGAGGGGCAGTAACTTGCATCCACCGACCTAGTGGTCCTGGTCTTGCTGGGCACCATTTCACGTGAACAACAGCCTGGCCAAGCATGTCAGCGGAGCAGTCAACCTCCCCACCCCTACCCCACCCCCAACCTGCTACTGTTCCCGTGACATCAGCTCTGGCCACCCCCAAGGCTTGATGTGCACCTGGGACTCAAAGTTCAGGAACGCAAAGCTAAGGCTTACTGAACCTTAGAGAAACAGCAACACCTGATGGAACAGATTGCTGTCAGGTTTTGCTGTTTTTTGTTTTTTTTTTAAGTCTCTTAACTTAGTAAAATGTCACATCTCAATATCAGAAAAGTCTGGAGTAAGTGTCTTGTACTGCAGTATGTAGAAAGAGGCTATGAAACATTGTGGGATCCCCCAGTGGGGATGGTATTCATCATCTATAACATGGGCTGCTAATGCCTCCATCAGAAATGGGTGATAAGCATGAATGAATTAACATATGACCAGGAACTTAATACACAAGTTTCCATTATAAAAAGCATTCTGGGTTTGAATACATAACTGTATTAAAGGCCTCCAACTGGGTCATTCATAGTCATTAATGACAATACCGCCAATAGTTCCCTCCTTTGTTCTCCACTTCAGCCCCATTCTAAATACTCCTGATTTGAATATAATGCCTACATAAGTTAAACAATAGGCCACGAGTTAAATGTCCTCATGTACAGTAAGGAACCTGAGTCCACAAACACACCTGTGTATCCGTGTAATCTCCTGTCTCATAGGGTTACACTCCATAGGAGTAGTAATATTATAGAAAAAGAACTTTCATAAAACCAGGTCCCGTCTACATAATGCCAAGAAGTACTATGGCTGAGTCAATCAGGCATTTCAAAATGTCTTTTCCAATCTCTCTTCAAAACAGCTTTTTGAAAATATCTCTTCCAACTTGTAATACAAATTTTACACTATTGTGTTGCAATCTGCTGTAGCAGTTGGGATGACTTCTGGACCTGAAGCCAGCAGTCATTATTCTGGCCACAGAGTTAGGACTGATGTGAGCTCAGCATAATTCACAATTTTTTTGTGGAGGTTTTGTGTGTAAAGCGTTTTGTCAGCCACAGAGCCATTTGGTAGAGGACACACTTTCATGGAGAATAGAAGATGTGTGAGTCCCACCTGTTCTCAATAAGCCTGCATTAATGAGGGGGCAATAGCATTTAATCTAAGAAGTGGGGAGGTGAGGAGAGAACTGAGGGTAGGATTACATAACATCAAACTAAATAGGAGAATGGATATGTAAGTACTAAGAGACTATCTGGAGGTTACTGCAGTGCTCATAGAAGATTCCATAAAGTAACAAAGAAGGATATTTTTTGTGGTCAAGTCATACTCTGTACCAATCAACTCAGCACATCAGGCTGTAAGACCTGTGGCTACAGGCAGTTAGATCTCATTTCCCTACAGCACCCAGTACCATGTCTAAAGTGCAGTCAGTACCCAATCAATTTTTATTGACTAAATGAATCAATAAATATATGATTGCTTTCATCCTAATATCAGAAAAGTCTGAAGTAACTGCCTTATAATTCTTGTCCCTGAGAATTTTGAAATAATTAAGGTCAGTGTAAGACCATTGCTTCCTCCTAAACTATACTAGATTCTGAAAGTTCTTCTATTGTTATTCATTTGGAATGTCATAGGAACCCAGGCTGTTGTACCCCTAAAATGTTGCATATGAACCGTGACCCCACTTTTTAAAAAATTGTGATAAAATATATAGCATAAAATTTGCCACCGTAGCATTCATAGCATTAAGTATATTCATATTGTTTTGGAACCAAATATTCATAAGTCTTTTCATCTTTCAAAGCAGAATTTCTATACTGATGAGACAACTCCCCATTTCTCCTTGCCTCCGTCCCTGGCTATCACCATTTCACTTTACATCTCTAGGAATTTGACTACTCCATGTATCTCATAGATCTGAATCATATGGAATTGGTCTTTATGTACCTAATTTCATTGAATTTACTAACCTTTGTAGCATATGTAATTTCCTTCCTTTCAAAGGCTGAACAATACTTCAATGCTGCTGTAAACATTGAAAAACACTGCAACATTTTCAAGATTGTACAAAAGTTTTACTGTCCCTTTAAACCTTTTAATTAAAAACATGGACAAGAAATCTGAACATATTATTCTAGAAAGACTAGTGTGATGGCTATATTCAAATATCCAGGGTAGGTTAATTTAATTCTACGGCTTTGAAATATCACCCTTTGAGACTAGACAGTGAGGCTCAAGTCTGAAATGTGATAAAGCATTTGAGTTCACTTTGAGGAAATATGTCTGTGCAGTCAGGGTGATGAAGAGGCAGAGAGAGGAAGGGCTGTAGAACCTCATGAATTACTGAGTGGCCAGTGTAAACCTGACAGGCCAGCCCTGGCCACCAATGCCCCTTTTCCCATGGTCCCTCACAGCAGGCTGTTTACTGCCATATCAGTGTTTTCTCTTTGTCTTTTGCTCAATCATTTCAAAGTCCAGTTTTACCCACAGTTACTTATGTCATTTATGTCCTCTGACCTAGTAATATCTCTCTCACTATTCACTATCTCTTTGCTGAAACTGTTTAGAAAAGGTGGGGGAGACATTGTGAGCTTGTGGGAAGAGCCATTGGTGAGCAGACTGCAGGTCTCGGTAGTCTCTCATTCTACCTGTGATCAGCCACAGGGCCGACAGAAAACGCCTTCTTCCAACCTTCCACCCTCATGTGCAAATGATCCTAGAAGTACCTCTCCTGTTTATGTTTACCATGATGTGTGTTGAGTAAACAGTGTTCTGCTGGCAAGTGCCTTGGAAACTAGACCATCTTCAGAAATGCAAAGCATTAGAGACTGCTACTTCAGGAAGCAGACATCACACTACTCCTATGGCAGCCAGGGGACAAACAAATCCCTGATTCTAAAGCCAGGCATTCGAGAAAATTTATGACTAAGCCATTCTAGGACCTTAAATTCATCCACTATACAGTGAAGGAAGGGCTAGTAATATTCTAAAGTCTTTCCACTTTGCAAACAACATGTTTTTTGACATATATGATTTCCTAGAACAAAGGAAATATTTTACATGTGTGTATGTGTGTGTATATGTGTATGTATATATGTGTGTATATGTGTATATATATATATATATATGTATATGAGCACAAAGTGTTTTCTTTGGAGAAATATTGTTGAGATGATTATTGATTAGACATCTTCAGAATATGTCATATAGAGAAGAAACTGGGGAGTTCCATTATCCCCACCCCACCCCACCTGCCCCTTTGGATTTGCTTCCCGTACTCAGCACTCTTGAAGAATGACAAGTGCCAGCCTGGTCAGGTCCAGATTTATACTGTCCTGGAAAACTGACTAAAAGGCCCTGGCTGTGGGGGCAGGACAGCCAGGCAGCACATGTCCACAGAGGCCTGACGGTGGTTCAGTGGCTACCTGGGTGCCAGTTAGTCCTCAGCAAAATGAAGGACAAGGACAAGGTCATTCAGCCCTCAGTCACAAATCTGAAGGTGCAGTCATAAATTTTCTTAGCTAGTCGATGTATTTATTTATTAAGAGTCTGAGCACTTAAGTCAGATAGAACTTTCTTAAAACTCCAGCTCAGAGCTTCCTAGCTGTGTTACTTTGGGCAAGATTTCTAATCTTTTCATGCCTCATCAGCAAAAGGACAATTATGAATTTGACCTATGACGTTTTTGGAAAATTGGATGGCATAATGAAAAGGGTTAAAGTACAATGCCTGGC